GGTACTTATTTAAGTAGTTATAATATAAGCTATAATAAATTGCTATTATTAAAGTTATTTTATTAACGGCTATTTTCTAGTATTAATAATGCTAAAAGTATTAAAATTAAAAATATTAATTATTTAAATGGCCCTAATAAGCTTTGGCCTAAATTTACTATTATTATAAATAAAAATTGCTAATAATATTTTAAAAAAAGTTAAATTACCTATACTAACTTTAACCTTTTTAAATACTAAATTATATATATATATATAAATATTTATATAATAGCTTATTTATTAATAAAATAAAAGCAAATAAATTTATTTAAAATAAATTTTATATTAGTTAATCTACTTAATAATTTTATATAAGTAAAATAAGGTTAGCATTTTAATTAAGTTTATAATTCTAGTATTTTATATTTATAAAATATATTATAAGCCTTTTATTATTTAAATATTATTATTTTTAAATTTTTAATAAAGGTTTTACCTTTTAATTATTTTATATTAAAATAAATAAAAAATTACTTTACCTTTCTTTTAAGGTTTGCTAAATTCCTATTTAAAAGCGCCTTAAAGTTTCTTAGTATTTTAAATATCTTTTCATATTAATAAACTATCCTTTTTTATATTAAAATAGTAATTACCATTTTTAATTAATAATTACTTTTAGGTTTTTAAAAAGCTTACTTTAATTCCCTTAACATATATAGGTAAAGCCATATATATAATTAAATTATAAAAGCAAGCTTTCTATTAATAGCTATTAAAAAACCTATAGTTAAAAACTTATTTTTAGTAGTTAGAATATCTAGTAGATATAGCTATTAAGTATAAATATATATATGGACCAAATTTCCTTTTTATATAAAAGGTTTTCTTATAGTTATCTATTAATAAATTAAAGCGCAAATAGGCTAGTTAAGCGTCTAACTATAGGCCCAAGGAAGCGCCTATATAAAATAAAAGAAAATAGTAAAAATCTTTTAATTTAAATATATTTAAAAAAGAAATAAAAAAAAATTAAATTTTTTTAATTACCTAAAAGAGGGGTAGGTAGGTATTTTTTATATAGGGTATTTATAGGTATAGAGGCCCTTACTAACTTAATACTTATATAGTAGTACTTTTATATCTTTTTTAAAAAATTTAATATTTATATTATTATTTTTAATATTATAAGTAAAGGGTTTATATATATATACTTTAGTTTATAATACTATAAATATATATTTAATAAATTTTATTAGTAGTTAAAGGAGGTTTTTACTTATATTTAATAGTTATTTATTTTACTTATATTTATATAAGTATTTATTTTAATATAAAGTAATTTATTTTATAATAGCTTATAGTTTTATTTTATTAAAACTTTATTTATTATTTTACTATAATATTTTTAAATATTATATTATATATATACTTTATAATTTTAAAACTTAATATATTTATATTAAATTTTAAAGTATAATATATATTATTTAAAATTATATCTTTATTATTTATATTTATTTTTAAGTCTTCTTTTATTTTAATATTTATTTTATTAATATTTCTTTAATTAATATTAATATTTATATATTTAATATTACTTAAAATTTATATCTTTTATAATAAATATATTTATATATATATTTAAAGTAAATTTTATTTTATTTATTTTTAAATTATTTTCTATATATATTATATTATTTATATAATTTAGATTTTTATTAGTAATATTATTATTATTAGAGAATTTATTATATATAAAGTATACCTTTATATTTTCCTTATAGTTTATATTATTATTATAATAATCTTATAAATTAAATTTTAATAATTTTCCTCTTTTAGATTAGAATTTTATATTATATTTATTTCCTTTTTTATTTTTATTATTACTTTCTTTATTTATTTCATTATAAGTAATTAATAATTTATTTTAAAGAAATTCTTTTTTATTATTTTTAAAGTTTTTAAGAATTATTATAATTTTTATTAATTTTATTTTTATTTTCCTAACTTTTTAATACTTTTTAAAATAAAGAAAATAATAGTTATTTTTAATATAGCCCTTTATTTTATAATAGGTATATTATAGTATATTTTTATTTTTTTATTTTTATTATTATTTTTAATAATAAAAGTATTTTTATTTTATTTATTTTTCCTTTTAATTTATTAATAAGGTTAAAGAATATATTCTTTATATTATAATTATTATAGTCTTTTATAAACTTTAAATAATATTCTAAATAAATTTAATATATTTATTATTTAATAAATTTAATATTTATATTATAACTATTTAATTTAATAGTTTTATATTATTAGTAAATAAATTTATAATTATTAAATTAATTTTATTTAAATAGTTTTTATAATATTAAAATTATGTAATAAAGTATTAAAATCTTTTTAATAATAAAATTTAATAGTAAATTTAATAAGTTAATATAAATTTTATAGTTTTCTTATATTATTTTAGTAGTTTTTATATCTTTTATATATATAAGTAGGCTATTTATTATTATAAGTTATATATAGGTTAATATTTTTAGTCTTCTTTAAGTATTAAATTTTTAAAATTATTATTTTTAATAAAATTTTCTTTTAATAAAAAGTTTAAACTTTAATAAATTATATAATATAATTTAATAAACCTTTTAATTTAAAAACTTTAAATCTTTTAAATAAAGCTATATTTTATAAGTATTTTTATAAATATTTTTATAAATTTATATATATATATATATATTTTAATTTTTAATATTTTTATAAAATATATATTAATAAATTCTTTATAAATTAATAAATATTTTTAATATAATTTATAACTTTATTTAATCTTATATTATAATATTTATTAAATTAAAGTATAAATTAAAAGTATTTTTATAGTTTTTAATTATAATTATTAGAAATAAAAATATTTTAAAATTAAAAATATTTTTAATTTAAATTTTATAATATAAAGGTTAATAAATTAGTTATAATTATTAAATTTAAATATATTATTATAAATATTTCTAATAAAATAGGTTTAATTTTTATATAAAGTATTATAAACTTTTTATATTTATAAGGGTTTTATTTTAAAATTTATAAAATAATTTTAATATAAATATTTTAAAATATTTATAGGTAAAGAGTTAAAAGTAATTTAATTTATAAAAATTTTTATAATTTTAAAATATAAATATAAATAAATTTTACTTTATTTAAAAGTAATTATAAAGTTAAGTTATAAAGGAATATTTATAATTAAAAGATATTTAAATATAATATAAAATCTTTTATTTTTTAAGGTAAGGTATAATTATAAAGTATAAATAAAATAAGGGTTATAATATAATATTTCTTATAAAATAACTTTAATATAAGTTTTATAAAATAGTTATTTTTAAGTAATTTTATATATAAAAGATTATATAAAATTTTTAAAAGTATTTTTATTAAATGAAATATAAAAAAAAGTATAAAAATATTTTTATTATTTTATAAGTATAGTTTTTATTAAATTATAAGGGAGTATTAAAGGTAGTTTTAAATATATTATTAATAGTATAAATAAAGGGTATTATATAACTCTATTCTAATTAATTATAATAGGTTATTATTATTTTATTTAAAAAGGTATTAATTAATTTAATTAAAATTAAAAATTTAGACTTTATAATCTTTAAAAATTTAAATATAAATAGTATTAAATTTTAACTATTAATTAATAGGCTTTCTACCCCTTTATTTATATACTAAATATCCTTTATTTAATATTTAAATACTTTTATTTAATAAAGCCCTTTATAGTCTAACCATTTTCAGTAATTATATATATAAAAATAGTGTTTCTTTATTAACTATCCGGAAACGTATTTTTACATACCCATTTAGCTACTGTCGTAGCTGGGTGGGCCATGCGTCAAATGGATGTAGGGCCGACTAAGTGCACATCATGCAATTTGTTGAGCGTAGAATGTATTGCATTGAAGCAGGAAGTCTAGAGTGAATGTGTCCCGGGAGGACCAACCTTGGAACGTTTATGTACACAAACGGCGGGATATGCGCAGGTGCGGGTTCATCCGCCCATGTCACCAATTCCTTCAACACAATCTACGAAGAGAGGCTTCATGATGGCGTCTGTATGGCATTTAAATAAATTCACCAGTCATCAGACAGATACTCCCGATATGTGAAGGGCGACTTGATGTCAGCATTGGTGAAAATACACGATCGAGACAGGACAAATTATGTCAATACTATGGAATCTTGGCAGAACAATTCAACAGCGTGTCGAAAATTTCCGTTGTCATGTCAAAGCACACCTCTCTTCCCCCTGGTAACTTGATCGTCTTGTAAGCTCCCGGTATGCCGTCGCGCAGATCGGCAAGGAGCCTGTCCTTGGCCGAGGCGTCTGGCTCGTTCTGCGTACTGTTTTGGACGTCCATACCCGACCCAACCCAATACCTTGCGCAGACAGCTCTTCTCCTTGTCGTCCCGGCGCTGTCTCTTGCACCGCGGGACGACATGAATCATCATCACAAACTATCATTCTCGATGCCGAGGTTGTGAGCACGGTATTCGGAATCGGCCGTACCGTTGTCTGTGTGAACTCTTGTTGGTAAGACGTAGCAGGTTGATGCTGAAACCAACGAGCTCGGGATCGGGCATATCCTTCGGCGTAAGTATTGTCATCAAAAAGAAGTTGGGCACATGTCACTGATACTGTCCCGTGAGGGTTGCCGGTTTTCATGTTCTTATCATTCTTACGCAGCGAGGCCCTTTTTCTAGTCCGAATTCGCGAAGAGCATATCGCATTGTGGGTGATATTAGTGAGAGACCCACACGATGTGGCCGTGTGAGAGGTGGCCGAGGTTGTCTCCAAATATCATCGATATCATTTGCAATAAAGCTGTTTCTTCGGGGATTAACCTGAGACCATCTCTTAGTTCTCCACCCCTTTGGAACACGGTAAAGTCCGTTGTTAAACCCCCGGCACAAATTGACCGCCCAAATTTAGACCGTAAAGGTAAGTTCAAGTCGTATCTTCTATTAGACCTTGTTCAGCTCCATGCCGAAAGCGCCTAGTATAAGCATCTGAGATCAAGGCATATACGGACAGACCAGTCAGCAACCATTACACCTCTACTCCACCCCCATCCGGTTTCACACGACGGACGCTTTTGGCCGTAAATCACCTCACTCGGCCCTCTTGATGAACGCATTTTCAACACCGCCCAGTATCTCACCGGATCCGACTTCTACAAAGCCCATCGCACGATATAGATGTGCACCAGTTGGACTGGACAAGAAATGCACGGCCTTGTTCTCCTCTGCAGCGCGCTCCATGCCCCAGCGAGTCAGCATCTTGCCCACACCCTTGCGTTGATGTGCCGGGTCCACGACAACCGAGCTCAGACCTACAGGTCGGCCGTCAGTCAGCTTCTCATCCAATACAGGCTTTGCTCCATGGCCAGGGTGACGTTCGGCCTACTCCAGGAATTCTGATACTGGTCCTCGCCCAGCGCTTCTTTCAGCCTCTTCGACAAATCCGCAGCCTCCTGTCCGAGCTTCTGAGCTGCCTGCAAGTCCATGCTTTTGGGAAGGCGAGCAATCCCCTCAGCTCTCTTCTTTTCTCGCTCTTCCGGTGTTATGTCTACGGCGGGGTCCTCTCCGCTGGTCCATTCCGCCCAACCCAAGATGCCTTCTTGCTCATCTGCAACCACTATGTAGTGATGGTTCTTTTTCTCAAAATTCATTGCCATGGTGCTGGCCGAGAAGTCAATCTCGTCGCTATCGCCAGGGTTTATACGCAGGTGCTGAGGGAAGAGCGCTGCGTTCACCTGTCGGCCGCTGTGCCGAAACGCGGTGACGGAGAGCTGTGCCATGGTGGGCAATTCATTCTTCCGGGCATATCGTATCTTCAGATTTTCCTTCATTCTGATTGATATTGAGACCTAGTATCGTGCAAAACCAAAGGGCACGAGCTGTCGACTCCTCACAGACGTAGGTTGAATGCATGTGCTGACTAATACTCAGCCGCTGTCTGAGAAAAACGAGAGTTGCCCCCCCCTGTTTTATTACCCCTATCAAAAATTTTAAAGGTTTTTTAAAAAGTAGTCTTTTTTTAATAACTCTATTAATATTTAACTTAAAAATATATAAAAAATATATTTATAATCCTTATTAAAACTTCTATATAGTAATTTTTTTTAAACATTTATTATTAAATCTTTTTTATATAAGGTATAGAGATTATTAGGTTGATAAGATAAGTAAGTGTACGAACCTATTAAGTAGTTTAGCTTATAATTCTAATAATATATAAACTTTAAATAAAAATTATTTTAAAATTTTATTTTTATAAAGACTTTTATAAGGGTTATAAATATATTTTTTATATATTTTTAAGTTAAGTATTAATAGAGTTATTAAAAGAAGACTACTTTTTAAGAAACCTTTAAAGTTTTTGATAGGGGTAATAAAACAGGGGGGGGGGGGGTAACTCTCGTTTTTCTCAGACAGCGCATTCGGGAGCGCACGTGCCGCAGCTTTAGCAGCACTGTGGAGTTTTCATGACACGCTTCGCCGAGCGCTAACCTCGCGCGCGAAGTAAACAAATATTACCTCGGTACAACCAAGGCCATAATAGTGGCCTGCGCATACTTATTAGCACAATTCAACATGCGCAGACCAAACCTACCCGCATCAACGCATTTGCGATGCTTAAGACCACATCAAAGCTTTAATGGCGGCATATATGAGCATCCCACTTTTGCAGGACACGTGTCTGGTGCCCGACCAGCGACCATCTCGTGCTTGTCTTCACCGCACCAGCGTGGAACTCACCAGGTAGGCACCTGGAACTGCTTTCGCCCACATCGTCTTTTTGTGACCTTTGAGCTGACCCTTATCCTTAGCGGAAGCCCTCACCTCGTTCAGTACTCCACAATGCCAGACCACTGCCCCGTCAACTATCAATGGTGGTCTCCCCGAGCTCGGGACACTCGTCCCGTGGCAAGTCTGGCAATGGAAACTTATGCTGGAAATGTGGGCAAACCAAGACCGAGAAAGGAGCTGGCCCTCGACGACGGTTGCACGCATCGGCCCCGGGGTTTGCACGGACAAGTTTATCACCACTCATGGCCCGCCGGCGATATCGTGTCAAACACGGCCCGATGTCTTACAGTCGTCTCCGAGACTCTCTTTTACAATCAGCGCCCAGCGTAGATGGATCCATTCCGACCGAGAACTCCGCTGCGATCACCTCGCCGGCGGAGGCTGGTACGCCTCCGCCTGGGCGTAAGAATCGTGATTCCAAGATCATGTTGGACCGGCATATCACATCTAACCAACGAATCGTTGAGTCCAAGGCAACAAGTCAGAAAACGAGAGGCATTAGAGATAAGGCCATCAAAGATTTAATCGCCAGGTTCAGGAGAGCCAATATCTCAAGGGCGAAATTCAGCAACGCGAACAGTCTCAGTGGCGATGCAGTTCTAATTTTCCTCCCGAGAACCGGCGCAGATGGTAGTGACGGGAGTGACACATTCAAGAAGGCATTGGAAGTGTTCGACCAAGAACAGATCGTCGAAGTCACCATTCCATGGGGGCAAACACCCCCCTGGTGGCGCTCAGAGCTCGACAACTTGAAGATCCATCTCGAAGGCGAAGAGGACGCGGCCGTGCCAGTGTTTGACTCGTGCGACGAGGTCCGCACCAAGATCGCTGATTATCTCGGCCAGCCAACCAGCCCTAAACCGCACTACTTCTGCAAGTTTATCCACACACTACTCACAGGGACAGTCTCGAAGACTTTCGACAACATCCAGCTCAAAGCATTCATGGCCAAGGAGGGGCCGGACGCCGGGGCCGGCGAGCTGATCTACTACGCTGCGTACATCTTCTTTGAGAAGCTGAGGATCGCCGAGGGCAGGCCCAAGAGCGCTCACCGTCTCAAGATGGAGAGGCTCCACCCGCATGGTTTAAAGTGTGCACGCCGCTAGAGCTCTGGGACCAGGACTCCAGCGTAGACGCTGTTGGTTTGGTTGATTAATTCAACTATCCAACGGAGTAGAATGGACACAGCAGCCGGAAGCACCATGGCCGAAATAACACCTAACTACGAACATGCTTCTAACGCCACAGCTCGCCAACCCATGGGGCTGCAAAGGACCTTGGGCTGTATCATCGCGCGTTTGGAAATCTCCGCCTTGGTTTTCCGGATACTTCCAGCGAGGCGGGTTGGAGGACCGCTCTTTCAGCGAGTCACTGGGGCGCGAGATCTTGCGATGGTTCGCCGCTACCTATAGGCATCCGATGCGCCGGTGAACTCCGTGTACGCTCCATCGTGGTATATGACCCAGCCACCAGACTTGTGCAGCTACATAGGGAGGACGCAAACCCGGCGTCGGCGCCGGACGAAGGGTATATAATCTAGAGCCATGCTCGAAATCAATAATCCAGGGTGACTGGTACCGAAATGCCGACGCGACGAAATGGGCAGATTCATTGTGTAAAGCATGGTGCTGGTTGATGTTGTTGCATGCTACTAGTAGTTGTCTCGGCAGAGCTCTTTGGCAGGCGGCAGCGGTCGGTTAACTTTCCACCCGAGGGGAGAAAGAGAAAAAAAAGGTCAGCCCGAGAAGCCGTGCCCAAAATGTACCAGCTCCTGATTGGAGATGTCGGAAGTATGCTTTGAGGTTTCTGAAGCGTTGCGCCTTCCAAGCAATTCCCAAAATTATCTCTCCCTCACCTCCTGGCATGCATGCCTCGGTTCTCCGTGCACTCTTCTGGCTGTCCTCTATAAGTCGAGTCCCTCCTCGGCGCAATGTAGCCCTTTGAACCACTTTGAAAAAAAAAATAAAAAAGGCTTATCGCTAACAGTAATGTTATTCTGCCGGTTTGGGGCTTTGATGACTGAATGCATTACGATTATCATGCGCTCGCCATACTAGTAGCTAATAAGATACCGCAACTTGAGCTTTGTCCGGGAACAGCTGAACGCAAGACGGAAACGGCGTTGCATACAGAGAATCAATCACCCGCAGATTTGAACAAAGCAGACTTCGGGTTTCAAAGACAGGTTCTATGATAGGATTCCCTGATTTCCCAGCAAAGTTTGCCAGCTCTCGTCTGCCCGTATTAACACATTCAAGGCTTGCAACTCGACCAATCTATCGACGCGGGACTTCAGGAACTGACGGCATCTCCGCGGCTACCGATTATCGACCAGGCCCGATTTCCTTCACCTGGGCAGCGCCTGACTGAGTGAGCGATCCTACCGATATGTCTACCCAACAGGACCCCGGCGAGATAGTGAGGGTAACAAACTCGCCTGAAGTCATATTGGAATGGAGTCGGTACCGGGCTTTCTATATTGAGAACTACACTACTCTCGAGAATCGGTGGATGAGAATGAAGATCGCAGACAGGCAGAATCTGTTGAACAAGAACTGGATGTCCTCTGGAGGTTCAGGCTCTCCGATGCCGCTGGAGGACCGTCCTGATTTAACGTAAGTACGCCTCCGAATAGGCGAAGATACATATGATGGTTGTGGTGGATGTCATATCAGTCCACGTGGTCACATGATTGTTTTGCAAACCTGAGTACCGAGATATACAGTAACTGCGTCTACTGAATTAGTTTTCATTCTTGTCGTCCTCAGTTCTCTCCCTTGATTCTCAGTTGCAAGTGTTTGGTAGAGTCGCTTACGTCCGTGATTCAGGCAACTGGTACCGTGGAGGGATCCGATTGACATGGACAGAAGTTTGGCTCCGCCCCGTTCTGTGGACCACGAGTTACTTCGGTGGCCAAGCTTCAGTCTGAATAGACTGTCCCGCCAGCCGGAAACATTCATAGAGTCAAGTAAGCAGCTTCGATCACAGATTAAGATGAAATATGCCACACAAACCCCCATTACTCAACGTATTCGTCATAACCCGGACCTAAGACAAAGTTTGGCACCACCGGGATTCCTGAAACATATTATTGGTGTGGATTGAACTCATTTATGCCTTTACGGCTGACTCCAAGTAATGCAGTGTTTTCCAGGGTGCAACATCCGAAGAAGTTCGCCCACGTCGACCACTTCTTCGAAAATTCCGAAATAGCTGAGAGGGAAAATCTATTAAAGAAAAGGCGGGATGACGAATTCGACCTCCCCTTGGCCACAATATTCATAGACACAACAGACGAGTACGACCTTGAAAACCCTAACTTATATGGCATTGTTTCACATCCGGCAGATCAAGAGGCTTGCGAATACATGCTGCTGCAAGGGTACTGGCTAGCAAGTAACGTCCAAGAGTTGATGGTCATCCAACTCAGAATATACCGATTCCTGAGAAGTATGGTGACCGATATCATGAGTGAGGAAAACGAGGAGCTTTACAGAATTCCTGATGAACGTCATAATATCCGTTGGAGGATGGAACCGCCTCAAGAACCAGGACCTGACGACAATGGGATGCAGGACGATGAGGAGTACACGAAGCAGATGACGATTTATCTGCAAGATCTCGATGATTACATCGAGCACAGTGTCACAATTGCGCCTTACCTAAGCACAGTTGAAGATGTCTGTGCGGTCGCACTCGCAATCTGCCGCAAGCGCGTTTATGATTTTGGATTGAGACTCCAGGTTATCAAAGCGCGCCCTGACAATTTTTTCACGGATCTCTGCGACTTACACGATCACTCATACTACGTGCTAGAGAATCAAAATGGTGAATCACACCCATGGGTAAGACATTCCATGTGATTTTGAAAATTGACACATCACGCCAAAAAGCGAATAACATAATCCAATTCTTGCTAAGGAATCTCTTACAGGCCGATCTGAAAACAAACGACAAAGAAGTCCGCATGTGGGCCACACTTCTCAAAGAGTGGCTCCGCTTCATAACCGAAGGTCTCGACACCTGGAGAACCATGGAGCGTACCTTTGATGTTCTTAGAAGGCTTGAACAGGGTCTACCGCTGGCAACTTCAGGCTCTGTTGAGGACTACGTAGGCATCTTCTACAATATGGCTTCTGATAGACTGCGTATTCTGGAATTGACGAGAGTACTTGCCTGTTCTGGAACCCTGAGGAAATATTTCCAAAGAGATGGCGGAGGTGGGTTAGATGCACGGGATTGGCCGCCTTTGAAGCATCCACGTTCAGCAAATTCTGTCATCCACCCGGTACACGCACAGCTCTTGTCCTTACTTCGGGTCTCAGGAGAATTCGGGGTGGGCTTCTATATTCCTCACGACAATTACACATGGGGAGGTGAAATTTTACGCCTCTTGAACGGAAATGATGACAGTCGTTGGATTACGGATTACGGTGATTGGAGGGCACAAGAATACGCCGACGCCTCATTTCTTTGGATGATGTTCAAGAGGCTATGGAAATACCGAAATTACGATGCGAATATCAATCCCAGAGACCGAAAATACAGGCCCTGGAGAGATCACAAAAGGCATTCTGACATTCTTGGCGTACTCAACACTGAAGATTTCGTCCCCATTGTGAAGAAACATATGGTTCCTCCCGAGGAAGGTTCTTCTACTGCAAACCGCTTCTCTTATGTAAGTCACTGAGATTCTTTAGCTGCCAAAATGAAACCCCGGGTATTGGCCAACTGCGTATATAAGCTGAGGCAGATGTAATATTGTACCATGCCGATAGCCAATCCTGTTATGTCCTGAATTAGTACTTGGAGAATGCTCTAACAAGCAAGACTAGCCCAGTGTCGAGAATCATATGACACGGCGCATGAGACGACGCAACGCGAGTTCAAGGAGGCAAGCAGAGCAGAGCCTGGAGAACCTTTGGGCAGATTTGCAACCGATGCTCCAAAGCAGAGACGCGCTTTCAGACTTCGCGAGTAAGCATCATCCCGGTTTTCGATAGATCTCCATGTTTGACACCCGACAACGCCCAAGAATGCGATAGTTCATGCCATGTAGCAGGCGACTAATGCCTACCAGTTGAGATATTGAACCAAGCCCGTCCGTCTAGAACTAGACCAGACGGTGTGGACAATACTCCCGATGAGCCTCCGCCGCCGCCCCCTCCCATCCAACGCCCTCCCACCCCTCCCACCCCACCCCCCCCTTCTAGAGAAGAAGCTCTTATGACAGCGCTCCGGAACCTTGGTATTAAACCTAGCGATACGCCCCAACCTCGACCTCCACCAGTCAGGACTCCAGAGAAAAAGACGGTCACGGGCGGTGAGTTAAAGATTCCTTCCGAGTCACTTTAGTTGCACACATAATTGTATCTGCTATGCCCGCCACAATATTGTGGAGTATCCCCGCCAGATCTTGTCAAACAATACGCTGTGGCATTTGTTCCTCCCCCGCTCAGAACCTCCAGTCGATGTTCCGGTTATTGACGGTCAGTTCCACAGGCATCAAAAAGGTCTCTCCCATCCGCCGAGCAGCACCAGGCGAGGGCGGGCCGTCACGTCCAAGACTCGCTCGGATAGCCGAAAGGCGGGCCCTAGCGGCGGCGGCGGCAGCAGAACCCGTGCCCGAGCCCGACATCACTCCCGCGGTCGTGGAGCGACCAAAGATCCGGTTGCCCACGTATTGGTACAACTTGCTCGAAAGCATCATGGTTTCTAGCGGCGGGCAGAACGCCGCGCACATAGACTGGCATGAACTGAGACTTCTTATGCGACAAATGGGGTTCACCGAGAGGGCGGGGGTTCCGGGCCGATGGGTGCCGGGTGATGATCTCAAAGATACCCAAGTATGTCACCCGCTATTTAGAGCGCTCTGGGAGTGGCGCGAAGCTTCCACTCCCCCTGGATAGAGATGGCCCGGGAGCCAAGTTGAATGAAGACGCCTGCCCCATCACAGCGCCGTCTGTCGAATACCACATGGAAACTAACAAGGACTTTTCTTAGGGCATATCTGGATCTATTGGACGTCATCCGCCTCACCCGGAACCGTATTTGACATTTGGAGTGGTTAGGGGGTGGATGCGTGGACACCACGGCCTTGGCGCTTACGGATGGGATATGAGCAAGTTTGAAGACGCCGGTGACCAGGCAGACCGGCCAGACAACCCCTAGTGACCAGGTATCAAGGCTCTAATTGCTTCAGGTAAAGAAAGACAAAGGAAGAGGAAATTGCGCTTCACTTCGGACATCGATGCCATGGAATTCATTCTCAGACGAAGATGATTTTAGAATGTAATTAGTTTGAATCGTGGCCAGAGGTTAAAGTGTTATTCAAGTACTGCTAGCTTTTGAGAAGTTGTGCATTGTATCCTATCAACAGACTGCAACGGTTGAATACGGTCGATTTCTATACGCTCCCTAATCATTTTGTTCATCACCCAACAAACTGTCTTGATCATCCATTGATACGAGGGTCATGTTGACAGCATAGCTTCTCGTCAATATGATTCATTTAAACGATCTGCCACCTTGAGCACAAACAGAAACAAGTAGCATTTGTTTCATATGTGTAGTACATATGTACCCTATAGAGAGTCGAGAGGGGTAGCCCGAAACCCTATGCTTCGAATTGGAGTTGTCCTCCTGGAGCCTTTCCGTATCACTTAATCTAAAATTTGTGCCAATGACTTGGAATGATTGTTCCAATCATCAACCCTGAGGAAATTTAAATCTGACACTCACACATGCTCTATTAGGAGAGCAACTTGGTCTGGCCACCCAATTTTTGATACGGTGGAAAGTGGACGCGACACCCGCGGCGTGCGTGTCATGGTATTACAAACAGAAACGGGTCACCCCAGCTCTTAGCTATATGCCTCAGGTCTTTATAGCTAAAGCCCGTAAACCCCCGCGACCCAGGCGGTAGGACGGCCGGGAGATAGAGTGCCCGCCGCCTGAGCGCCGCCTGCCCTGCGTCGACGTTCTGCGCGTTAAAGGCAGGGTTGTTGGCAGACCAAAAGGGGTACGGTTGGACGGCCGCAGCGGCCGCGGCCGCAGGCAGCATGATCCCGGGGAAGACAGGGGGGTTTGGGTATACTAATGGTAACCCAAAGCCACCTGTTGGGCCCCCCGGGCCGTTTCCTACCGTTGACCCGCAAGCACCATCTGCCATCGATGAGGAGGTCCCATAACAGCTTGTGCTGGCGGGAGGTTGACCGGAAGTCTCGGAGAGGGTGTATGATTCTGAAGTCGACGTTTCTGAAGAATGGAACGGCGTTCCGAAGCCACGGCTGTCATGTTGGGAATACACCTGCGGTCCGCCATCTACGTTGCTCAAGGTCAGTTCCGTCGCGGACCCTAGGGGGGGGGGGTTCCAAACAGCTATGTTATTTTCCACGCAGGAGTATTGGAAAGGTGAAACTGACACTCGGTAATAAGACCTTTTACCCCAAGTAAGAGTTTTTCTACTGGGCACCAGGATATCAGATGTACTAATCCTGTTACGGATTGTTGTCAGACTCCCCCACCGCTGCCCAGCCGGAACCAGCCCTGGCGCCGCAGGATTCTGTCCGGTGTTGAAGTACTTTGCTTTGTGCCAGTTTTGCTCGACAGAGGTCATAATCCAGGCCTCAAAACGACACACGCTCAAGAAGACTTCCTCAGCCTCAGCATATAGTTGCGGGTTTCCCGAATTAAAAACCAGTTGTAGATCTGGAGGCCGAGCCAAGTTTTCAACGTTCATCCTCGGGAGCCCCTGGAACACGTGTTGTAGGACTTGCCTGCGCACAGGAGCCGGTGAGTTCTGCAGCAAGCCGAGCAGATCAAAAGCCCGGGGAGGCGGTGGTCCTGGGCCGTTTGGGGCCGGGTGTACTGGCTGCGGCAGAGGGACTGGTCATGCTGGTCCAGGCAGTCCTGCCTGTGGCCCTGGGGGGCCTGCGGGCGCCGCTCCTGGGGCGGCTAAAATCCGCCCGCTTCGAAGCACCATACCCGAAGCCATAGTAGTTATCGACGGTAAGTGTTTGTGGTATTGCACGGCTTGTATGTGCGTATTGATTTCGAGGTGGGTTTCTTCTCAATGGGGCGACGAGTCGCCGCGCGGACTGTGTATACAGCTCAGAATTCAACGGCATGTGCAAGCACAAAGACACAAATCATTTTTACTAAACCATAACCGGCCATGATACTCATGTATCATAGGCTTTTTTGAAGACGGGAGACGGCCGCTCCTTTGACAGCTCCTGGACAATCAATGGAAATACCGGTTGTCCCCCACAATATACACTGCGGGAGCCGAAATGCCTATAATTAACCCAGAAGGCTGTGCTGAAAGGCTTTCAGTCGTCCAAACACTACTAGAAGCAATGATCACAGACTCTGGGCTCTACGAGGTCTAATGCGTGTCACAGGAGCGCAGTGTGCTTCATTGCTATCGTAAGAGACCTAGTTATCGGTCTGCTTTTTTCAATACGCCCTGCTTGGACCCGTGATCGTACTGTGTGACGCCCAAAATATGCAATTGTATGGCTTGTTGCGGGCTTTTATTCCATTCACAGATGGAAAGCCTGGTTCATGGTGAGACTGCCCGCGAATTTGGGCCGTGGTGGGCCGTCCTCCCCTTTCTCACTTCGGCTCATCCGCCGGCTCAGCATTCACTGGACTCAAAGCTGGCGATGGCCGCTCCGGTTCACCTCCAAACTCATTTTCCAGCGCGCCTGCGATTCTCTCCTGGATGGCGACGGAGCTCATCTTCGATCGCCGAAGCTCCCCCACCTTCCTCCAGCCGTTGTACCCATGCGACGTTCGATTCCGGTTAGAGTATACGTGCAACCCGGAGAGGGCCACTTTTGGAGTTTCGTTGAACTGGTCTTCGCTTGAAATCTGAACGGCTAGATGTGGCCTCCTGTCAGACGGGGACGCGTGCTGGCCCTTTCTGTAGGACTCCCAACGTTAGCAAACAATGCCTAGGTATGGAAAACCTGCAGTCCGGTCTCTCTTACCTGACCCATATGACAGCGCACTGCCGGTTGGTGGCGGGAAGCGACTTCCCTGTGACGTCCTATCGATTGTTTAGAAAAGCCCCGTCTGTGACATGTCTGTGGGCATGTGATTACCTTCTTTCCCCTGGCACAAGCAGCGGCAAATGAGCGGAGTACTTTGACTTCTTGTTTCACTATTGCCTCATTTCGAAATACAGAGTCGTGGAGGTAAATGACTCGCAGGGGTTGGTCGTCTGTAGTGGTGGTGTCCAAGTACCCGGCTTGGTGGTATGTAGACATCATGCGAATGGACGCTCAGCTTCGTTCGTTGTTTGAGACAGATTTGAACATCTGCTTCTGGGAGATAACAAGCTGTAAGATCAAGCTTGGCCGAAATGTCTGCTGACCACGGTGCAAACGGTTGCCCTTCCCACGACGGGGTGACTTGGGCATCAAGTGAATGGCTATTGCGAGTACTCGACGACGGTAACATTTGTGCATAGGGACCGAGTCTAGGGTTTACGTTCACAGATAGATACCGACGAGTACATATGTAACTTCGGACTGAGTAATATGGCACATAACTTTAAGTAAAGGGACATGTGCAGGTCTCAAGTACGGTCTCAATTCCTTGAGCACAATCGGCATGTTCAGTAGGTCAACACAACTTAGGAGAGCTCTGTCGGCTAAGACTGTTTACTGGAGTGACTTACGTGTCTCTCAATATACTCCCATTTTTAAATGCCCATATTGACAGTCGGAATGGAACAGCCTTGCAAGGTCGGTCAAAATCCTTCTGTGGCAAATTCCACCAGTCCTCACAAGTGGACGCATGACCACAGCGGCTTCGTCAAGAATTTGCAAATTACAGGCATCTGGGAGCTGCGGTCAGGCAGGACAAAAAGTGTGCGTGAAAAGAGACTCGAAACTTTCTTATCTTGTCCGATCCCACATGCGTTGTATACCTAGGTATGCCTTCCCGCATCTAATACAAATACGGGCGGCTGTTATCTAGGTAGATGAGGCATGCCCAGGTGCCAAGCAGTCAAAGACATTGGGGCACTACCACGGAATAGGATCAGAACCTCGCTTTTTCGACCAAAAAGTCCGTCCTAGGCATGTACTTGATGTGTAAATTACTAGTAGATTTGTCGTTCAATCACCAACCTAGCACCACCTGGTCTCGATCTGGAGTCTGAGATACAGCGCACAGGTTATGTATGAGCCCCTGTGTGACCATCCCAGCAGGAACTGTCGGAACAGGGGGCAAACAGTGCCAGAAGACCAGTCGACGGCATGTAAAGCGGGGCGACGATAAGCATCTCCAAAACCTTGGAATCCTGCCTACAATGTTACCCTCCTGTGTTTTGTCAACGGCGGTGAATGCATACGTCATGGGCACTAGGTCGTTTAAAGGATCCAGTGCCGTTATTGCATATCTGATGGCCTCTTGCCAAGCGACGAGTAAGACACGCAGAAGTTGGAAAAGAAGCCTACCTAGGTACCCACTTGCAAGTAAGTAATAAGGAGGGGAATTGTGCCGATCACCTGAGCAGGCTAGGAGTATCATGACAAATGCAGCTGAAGTCCCTGTACGTATAAATGCCTACTGGTAGTTGTTTAAATAGAACACTTGAGTGACAATGGAACTCTCTGCATTTGTGTAGTCAGATAAACCACGAGTCTATTATCAGGCTCCCAAACAAGTGCTCACCATGAAGACCTCACACTTTGTTTCCGCCAGCCTCTTGTCCCTTGTAGTGTCCGCAGCAAGTCCTCACACAAACCCCAGAACAACAAACACAACCGCCCCGCACAAAGTCATATTCGACACAGACTTCAACACAATAGGCGACGATGGCCAAGCCCTCGCAATGGCAGCCCAGCTGCACGCAGCAGGCTCCCTCACCCTCCTCGGCATAACGGTAGTGACAGGCAACCAGTACCTAAACCAAGGCGTCGCGGACGCCCTCCGCGCCGTCGAGCGGATGGGTATCGCACACGACGTCGGCGTCTACGCGGGCGCCCCCTACCCCATCCTACACACCTACGCAGCCCACGACCTCGAGGTCGCCACCTTCGGCAACGCGACAAAGTACGTCGGCGCGTACGCACACCCAGGCCCCCAGCCCCTGGTCCCGCCGCCGGACGGCTTCGCAGCCACCACCACGACACCGAGCACGAAACACGCCGTGGACTTCATAATCGACACGGTCCGCGCGCACCCGCCCGGCGAGGTCACCATCCTCGCCCTGGGGCCCCTGACGAACCTCGCGCTGGCCATCGCGCAGGACCCGGGGATCGTGCCGCTGCTGCGCGGGCTGGTGGTCATGGGCGGGCAGTCATATGTCCCCGGGAACGCGTACCGCGAGGGCGCGGGGGAGACGAACTGGTGGTTCGACGCCGAGGCGGCGCGGGTGGTGCTGCGAGCGCCTGAGTTCCGCGAGCGGAAGATCGTCGGGCTGGACGTCACTGACACCGTTGCCATCTCCAACGAGACGTACGATCTGGTTGCGGGCCATGAGCCGGCTACGGCTGTCACGAGGCTTTTTAAGGGTATTGAGAGGTGGCCTTTTGTTTATGATACCGTCGCGCTTGCGTCGCTCTTTGATGATAGCCTTGATTTGGATGTGCGGGAGCTGTATGTGGATGTGGATTGTGACTTTAGTGCCGAGTATGGGAAGGGCCTTGTGTGGGAGGAGGATCCGTATCCGGGGCTTGGGGTTGTGGGTGCCTCGTCTGTGCTGTTTGGGATTGACAATGAGCGGTTCTTTGAGCTTTATGTTGATCTGCTTACTCGCCCGATATCTGAGGGTACATGATCATATATGTAGCGAAAAGAACAGCGGGCAGATGCCAAAGATGTGCTACGGAAAATGAAGACGGCAAACTGACGGACAATTTTGTGCCTCGCAGAAGCCCCAGTCCACCGAGACGACCCCAAGAGCAGGCAAGCATCGAGGTCTCGCGGCTACAAGATAGATTACGGGAGAAAAGATGGAGAAACAGCAACCCATCGCGGCAGACTTCTAGGAAAGCATCAAAGCGGACGAGGAGGATCAGGACAATCTCGCATAGAGGCTCAAGGACCTCAAACATTCTGCTGAGTTTTACAATAAGGAGAAGGCCAAAAGCGTCAAGTTGAGCTCGGCCATGCAACGCAGGATCGCATCGTTGGAAAACGCGCAGGAGACGAGGCGTCTGGGGCAAACTATCCGCGAGTTGGAGATAGAAACTTTGAACAGAGCAGCACAACAGCCTCCATCTCGAGTTTCTGAGCCAGGTGAAACAGCTTGAGGAGCCCCGGAATTATTTAGGCTTGACGGCATTGGGCTTTGCATGACTTGCCAGATTATGTGCAGTCTCCCAGTACTAGTGGGCATCTTGTTGCTCGGGACCGAGTCTCGAGGCAACTTCAACCACACGCGGTCCTGGCGTCACATGACCACCAGTCTGTTGGCTCACAGAACTTAGAAAGATCCTGACCCCGCTTATTACTCCATAAACACAGTCTTCTAAAGCACCAAGCACACTCCCTCGCAACCCATTACTTCCTCTTCCCTTCACGCCATTACCAGAAAGAGACTCTTGATATACTCTAGATGGGGCCCAGTCCTACTCGTATCCTCCTCATCATCTCCTGCAGAACCCCTCGATGGCAGACGGCCTGCGACTCTCCCGAGGACATCGTCAAGATCGCAACTGAAGCCATCCAAAAGAACAATTGGCTATCTCTCAACGACAGCGACAACGCATCTCTCAAACCCGCACTCGTGGCTACCGAAAAATTCACCTCGCGCGTCTTCATCGTCTTCGACCTCTTCAACGAGAGTTACGACTTCGATACGGCGCACCTTCCCGGCCGGAACGATCTTTCCGTCCTCCCTATCTACATCAAACGAAAGGGGGAACAGGAAAGGATCACTGCAGGTGCTCGGACGCAGGGGGTCACCGACCGAGTCAATGCAGACGTTCGCGGAGTTTTTGATAGCGAGGGATGGGCAAGTCGACCACCATTCATGGTGGATCACTTGAACGGCAACATCCCTACTTACTGGAATCCGCGGAGCGCTCATCAGAGTGTTTGAGATTTCTAATAGGTTGATGGGTTATAACTAACGGGCCCGATACAGAAGCCGCACTGCGAGGGGTATCCGTTTCGCTTCGCCAGATAGAGGGGGTCCTGCACACTTTCTTCATATGTAATGTTACCTTTGAATTGTGTGTCGCGTCCATGAATTCTGCTGATTCGTAGAGGTTTTGTAATTTTGTGGAATATCGACAGTGAAACTGCTTCTTGTAATATATATACATGCCTGTACTGAGGACCATGTGTATGTTATATGCACGGCGAGAGAAGTCCCGTGGTACGCATTGCTGCCTGGGGTGGAGTGACATGAGGAATGGCGTTGTAGACGTAGTTGGGTGGGAGAAGGTGCCTACACGGGCTTATAACGAGGAGAAAGAGAACAATAAGGGGAGTTGAAAACGGACGAACAGGTGATCGTCGAAGAGCATGCTCATGGAATGGCTTGACACATCAATGCGAGGCATCAGCTTGTCTGGCAACAAACCGGCAAGGAACCAAACCTCTGCGTATAGTTATGAGATGCTCAAAGGCATCTATTCCTCATGGTCCCCAGCGATTTAGGCATCAGGGTTTCAGGTGGCGCCCAGGCGCACCTTTTAGAGAAAAGCATCTCCCCATTGTCTGTCATTTGTTTTAGGAGTCCTTATCATGCGAAGAGTCAAAAGAGCCGAGCATTAAGTGATAATTATCCAGAGTGAACTCACGCTAGGGTCGTCAGAATTGCATTAATTGATGTGAATGTCTAAGATGTGCTTCATCTGCAAGTTCGAAACGCCCTGCCTGGAATGCATGCCCATCGTTTATGGCATCCAAAAGTGGGAGTGGCCTTGATTTCTTTTGTTCCAACTATCAGTCTGATCCCAGTGACTCACGGAGTGAAGGGTAATCGAAATAAAAACCTAACCCCTATTCACTGAGAGCATTTACATGACCGGTATTTAAACTCAAGCACCTCTGTTTTGTCGTCTCCGATTGCGACCTTTTTATTGTGTTTTCTGCCAAGATTAGCCCAAGAAATTGAGACGAGCTACTGTTTTGGGGCACGAGGTCTTCCACTTCATGTTGGATTCGCATCCGAGTACAGTCCCTCGTTGCAGCCTGTCCCAGAACGCGAAACGCTCATCTATTCTATCTCGCCCTCGAGTCAAAGCATCTGGGGCATTTCACGCCTCGAGCATCTGTCTTTGCTTTCAACGAAACGTCAGAAAGATAGTAAAAGAAGAAAACAAGACAGCCAATGAAGCCGACAAAGAGTTTGGTTGTCCCCCACCCCCACCTCCATCCACCTCAATCCCACCTTCCATCCCTTTTGTAAAAGTCTCATCCATTCCGTACTCGATAGCTGACTGGTTTTTTGACGCAGCTCCCGTCATGATGTCATCTATTGCTGCTGAGAAAAGAGATCTACCGATTCGTGCTCCGGTCAAGGACGAGGAAGCCGGCAAAGCCAACCAGATGAACAACGCCATGGCGTTCCACCGCTACATGGATCTACCTTTCGAGATTCGAAGAGCCATCCGTGCAAGGTCGATCGATCAACACCAGCGCATGATGGTAACGGATGAAGAGGGAAACTGGCAATTCAAGGTCGATCTCGCTCGGTTGGCAACAGTCTCCAAAGAGTGGAGGAAAGACATAGAGAAGATTCTTTTCGCAAACATTCGATTTGATTCGTCGAAAGTTGAGAGCCTCTCGTTTCTCGAAGCAGCATTCACACCGCGACGAAAAAGGTTTATCCAGTCTCTCGATATCATCATTAATGATGAGCAGACCGTGAAGAGCCCCTGGCACAAGCGTATGGGGCTATTGGAGATCAGCCGGGTAATGGAAAGAACTGGACATTTATTTCAGTGGATCAACTGGGATTTTCGGCAAGAAGTGGAGGACCGGCAGTCCATTGAAATCAGGTTCAGGTCTTCGAGCTCGCATACTCCAAACTTCGAGGACGCCGTACCAGATGATCCATCAATGCAGACTTCCTCACTTTGGATGAGGGAGATATTGAGTCGAGCCACGAATTCGGGCCAAGTGCCGACTAATATCGTGTTATGGGCCATCAACTTCGAATTCCCATCCTCTCTCAACATGGTGACGAGCCTCACCTTCCCCCCAGATTGTCTTCCCTTGCCTGCTACACTGGCGTTTCTACGAAGAATGCCGAATTTGAAATCATGCAACTTTGAATTAGCTTTCAAAAGCACCTCGGAAGATGCATGGGGCAATTTTGCTGGTAAGCTTTTCTTGCTCCTAGTTCTTAAAGACGACCTCCAGATCTGAGCTGACCGAGCCACAGATCTTATCAATGCATTACCCGCGTTGGTGCCTTCCCTCCGCGACCTGAACATCAAAAACCCACGCATTGACAAGCTAAAGCCGGAAACCGTGATGTTCAACCCCAAGCGCCTATCCACCGCCATTCGAGACTACAGCCAAAGTCTCAAGTATCTATCTGATTGCGATTTCACCATACACCAGAGTTTCTTCCAGCCCTTCTCAGACGACATCGGGACCAACATCGCAACGTCACAACTGTGGTGGCCAAGGCTTGAAATTCTCAGTCTTATCTTTGCCACATTCGCCCCGTATGCAAGCGAGCGGCCCCTCGGCCTGACAGCAGCTGGATTACTTGTTGCCGCGGGAAGGGCGGCGACGGCCATGCCTGTCCTTAGACTATTCCAGGCTGACGTCTCAGAGGCTCTGGACGGCAAACAGTACAAGTACTTGCAAGTCAGCCAAGAGTCTCCCGGAAGCTCCGGGGGCTCCGGGGGCTATTCCGTCCAGATATCAGGATTCAGCAAGGAAGATGATGGAACAATCCTAAATGCGTGGACTTCTTTCTTGGGTGTTGAGGCCCGATTTGTTAAAGAAAAAGAAGAGAATGAGCTGGTGGACCCGCAGATTCGGAGATTTTACACGACTTGCGCTGATGGTCAAGACTAGGGCCTGGGCCTTATCCGCGATGCACAGCATGGAATAGTCTGATAACTCTTCGTAAAAAAGACGGTAAGCCATCAATGATTGGAGGCATGGGAATTGAGCTCGTTAGCTACGAATGAGTTTTGTTGCCGAAGCCTTGGCCCAAACACCATGCATACCCCAGGGTAGAAATGTCTTTTCATATGAAGACGAGACAAGTGAATGATCCAGTGCTCGACGCTACAGATGCACCACGTAAGGCCGAAACGAAGACTGGTTTGATATTGCAGGCCAGCCCATCATTCAGTAACCTGCAATGGTTCAAAATCAGGTCAACATGAAATCTATGGATTCAAATGCATTCGCTAGAAATCCAATCCGTCTCCCAGGATACCCAGGTACTGACCTTCCCCTCAAAAACTAAATCCCGAAAGCATCCCATCCCAGCACCATACAAGACAAAAGTCCCCCAAAAATGTCCCAAAGAGTCGATAAACAGACAGACCACGTAGGTAATGCCCCACTCACTTACCGTCCACACTCTTTCTATACAGACCGCTCTCACACCCTCCCCAGGATCTCCCGTATCCGCCCGCCCCTCCGCGCCTGCTGCGCGGTGCCTACCGCCGGGTACCCCCCATATTCATCTCGCGGAGCTGCGAGGACGTCAGCGAGTATCCCGCGCCATGCCTGGAGGGGGCCGAAGCCTGCCGCGTACCTGATGATGAGTCACGTCTGCTCCCGCCGTCTGCGCCGTATATATCATCGTGGTCCCTGTCCCTCCCCGACCCGGGCCTCACCTTGTCGGGCCTCGGGGGCGGGGGCGGCGGGGGCGCCGAGGTCGGCGCGGTGTAAAAGTCCTCTTCGGGCTCGATCTCGACCGTGCGCCTGTTGCTGCTGCTGCTGCCGTTGTTGTGCGTGGGCGTCGGTGTTGGCGACTGGTAGTGCTCGCCGCCCATGCCGTTGGCGTAGGGGTTGTTGGAGCCCGGCACGATCCCGTTGGTGTGCACCTCGGGCCGGCTCTGCTGCTGCTGGGGCGCGGGCGGCCTCTTGGACGTCCTGGTCTGCGGCGGCGGGGGCGCCGAGGCGCCGCCGCTGCTCGGTTGTTGTTGGTGCCGGCTGCTCGGCCGGCGCCTGGGCGGACCGCCGTCCTCGTCGCTCGTCGTCTCCCCGTCCGAGTCGGCCTCGTTGGCGTAGGCCCTGAGCTCCTTGCGCATGGCGAGCCCCGCGCAGATGTCCTTGGCCTCCTCGATCGCCCGCTTGCGGCTCCTGAGGAGCATCCTGCGCTCGCGGGTCTGCTTGTTCTCGGCCGCGATGGCGAGGATGGTCTCCTCCGTCATCTTGAGGACGTGCAGGGACTCGAAGATGTTGTACATGCCCTGCAGGAGGTGTCGCTCGATCACCTGCACGATCGTATTCCGGATAAAGGACTTAGCGCTTAACTCGTCTGACGGTGAGTGTTAGCCCTGCTGCTGGTCCTGGAGTGTTGTAGCCTAGAAAATTCCAAAATATCAAAGACGGGTGAAAAGTGGTACTCACAATAGATCAACATCTTCTCGAGCACCTCCTGCGCCTCCGACCACTGCGGGGCGCCTTCCTGGCTCAGAGACCTCGCCTGCCACGCGCGGAGCTTCTCCTCGTACTCGGGGTCGTACGGCTGGACCTCCAGGTGCATGTCTTGCGAGAGCAGCTCCAGCTCCTTCTGGGCCTTCTCCATGAGCTGCTTGAGCTGCTGGTCGAGGAACTCGCGCCGGAGGGGCTCGCGCATCCGCTTCGGCCACGAGTAGTCGATCAGTTCCGCCAAGAACTCGTTGCACACAACGCCGAGGTTGTCCTTGTGTTCCTGGGCCAGCCTGGGCCAGTACTCCGAGTAACTCTGGAAGAGCATGTACACGGCTCTGGGCTTGGCGTCGCCGGGGAACTCAGAACCACGGATCTGATTGAGGAGTGTCTGGACCTCCTGGCGGACGTAATTTTGCTTTTGCTCTTCCGACAGGTCCTTGCCCCCTTGCGGTGCATGCGAGAAGCCAAACTTGCGGCCATGTTCCCTGATTCGGTTGCTGAAGGCGTCGTTCTCCTCGGCAGCCCTGGCGCGCAGGTTCTGGGCCGGCGTACCCCGCGGGTCAGCCGTGGAGCGGAAGAAGTTCTTGCCAGGCGGGTTCTTGTAGAAACCATAGACAGCAGGGATGACGAGCTCCTTGGACGCGCTGAAGAGTTCCACGAGTTCTATCCGCATCTCCTCGGGCGTGTCCTTGCCCTCGCCCATCGATTTGAGTTCTCCGTCGGTATCATCCAGCGCCTTCTGGATCTGTCGGCGTAGCGTCTTGACGTGGCGGCCAATGTGTCGTTGCAGCTGCGTGCTCAGCTTCTGCTTCAGCGCGTCGGCACCACACATGGACTCTGGCAGGGAGCGCCATTTGCCCCGCCCAAAGAACTCCTCCTCTCTCTGGCGTCGCTCGCGCGCGGTTGGCCAAGGCTGGCCGGCGTCGCGAGGGCCAGGGTTAAGAAGGATGTACCACCCGAGCTGAAAGTAGTTCGCCTTGTCCTTGTTGTTGACAAGATCAATAAACTTGTCCTCAAGACCAATGGACTCGGTCAGATCGGGCTTGGTGAGAACACCGATGGTTCTGGACCCGGTGGGGTCGAATTGTCTCGCCTTGGTGAGAATTGGGGCCTGCACGTAATCCGTGTTGCCGCCGACTACCGCAAGAATGATGGTGCGCGAGCTCTTCATGTACCGCTCGCACAGAGACTCGATGGTCTTGATGTCGTCCAAGCTCTGGTCGTTGTTCGCATTCCGCACCAGACCGGGCAAGTCGACCAAGGTCAGCAGAGGCATGTCGGGGCCCCGCTTTTCAACGACAAGAATGTCCCGGGCGGCGAAGCGGCCGGGAATGTTCTTTGGGGCGATCAAGTCGACGGCATATCTCATGAGCTGCTCAAAGTTCATATGGTTGCCGACATTGCCGCCAAAACTGCGCAGGGCCTCCTGCGCCTTCAGGTCTCGGTTCTTGTCTGGTATTATAGAGACAGTCAGGCTGGTCTCGGGCGCCCTTCGTAAGCGGATCTCGGTAGCGAATCTGGTACAGGCGCCGGCATCTCGAGGAAATGGGGTGCCCGTGATGGCCTCGAGTACCGAGGATTTTCCAGCAGACTGGTCGCCAACGACGCATATCTGGGGCAGCTTGACATTGTCGAGCTGCGCGAACTGGAGCTTGTCGATAAGCTCGAGGAGGCCGCGCTGTTCGTCGGCGAGACCCTGAGTGTCGAGGGCGGAATCTAGCGAGGACTGGGGATCCATGTTGCCGGCCGATCCCATTCTGAGGTTCATCAAGTGGGAGCAGCGCAGGCGGTGGATGTGTAGGAAGTGAGAGAAGAGGAAAAGAAAATGGTAGGAAGGAGTAAAAACAAAAGGGTCAGAAAGTAGAACAGCCACCTACGAAAAGTAGGGTATGACGACTGTTCTTAAAAAGGACGTCCACTTGCCACGTCGTTGGGGGTCAAGGAGGATGCATGCATCAAAAGGCAGCTTGGTTTTAAGCTTGACCACAGGGCCAGAGGGATGCAGAATAATAAGACAGACCCCACTTGCCCACCAGGACTTCAAGGGTCCACGGGCAGTGACAGAGCTAAGAGGGCGCCTGGGCTGGGGCGAGAGCTCACTTGGACACTTCAAGGCTGAAATGATTGCATGTGACTGGTCTGTCGCGGTGACAAGAGGGCTATGCTGCGAGTGCAGAGTGCAGAGCTGCGTAATCACCTTGGCAGGCGGGTACGTCGAGGGACCAGGCAAAGTCGCCACCCACACGGCTGTGCCCGAACAAGAGGGGCGCCAGGCCGTGTGTCAGAGGCTGCCTCGTTTGGGCACTGCTTGACTGCGTACTCCTGTTCTTCTTTGGCGCACTGGCACACTGGCAAGTCGGGTCAGAAACCAGGTTGCCTCCGTCACATCCATCCAGCCATGTGCCAATGTTTCGTCCTCGGCCAGATCTTGCCGGCCACCGCAGTAAGCCCAAAATAGATGCGTGGCCAGCAACGGGCTAGGCAAATGGAGCAAGACAGGATGACGAGGCGAGACGCGTCGTACAAGCGGCAGACAAGCTAAGCACCCAGGGCACCCGGAACTTTGGTCGGTGACATGACGGAGGGGGGCTTGGCATTTACTGGTCTGCAGCGGTGTCCCGTCGGGCTGGATTCTTGGTGGGGGGAGGGAGGAGTGGAGGCTGGAGGCAAAACCTCTGCAACAGCCGAACAGTCGAACGGCGGCATGGTTGGCCTGCAGAATGTGGCTCAGTTGTGGCTGAGGCGGTTCAAGTACAGCTATATCACATAGTTTGCTTTCTGTCCGCTGGGGTCTGTTAGTGCACGACCCTTTTCCCAAAACGGAGGTCAACGGTCAGTAGAATGCAGGGACCAGGCCCGTTCAGGACCAACCACGTCATAGCATGGGATCCGCATCCTCATGCGCGGCGCGCGACGGGCAGGAGCTCTGGAGGGTCCTCGAGATCGTCTCAGCCAGTCAACCAGCGACCCCGGCGGCACGAACCAGGGGAGCTGCGACAACAACTGGGGAACTGGAGAACCGGACAACTGGAGCTCTGGTCGACACGAGAATTTTTGTTGACTTGGCCCTGGCTGGACACACAGTACAGTACCATCATCCGACGACCCGACTGACCGACTGGCTTGACTCTTCTTTGCGGTTCCTGACGGTTCTTGTCCTTGACTCGGCCCCTCCCAGCCTGCTCCGTTAACAGGACGCGTCGCCGACAGAGAGGACAATGTAGGAGTGGTCGCTGTCTTTGTCACCGTATATCCTGTCCCCGGTGGCGGCACTGCTGCTCCTGTGTTATTACTGCTTTTGCTCCTTCTGACCACAACCAACCCGCCCTCACCCACGCCGACACGGCAGCCGGCAGCCATGGACTACTACGACCCCGACAAGGGGAAGAAGGGCAGCTGTGACGGCAGCGGCGACGAGTTTGTCCAGCCTGGCGAGAAGGACACCTACGTCCAGCTCATCATCTCCTTGGCCCTCGGCTTGAGTGCCTTCATTGCCTTTTGCGTGAGTCCAGTCGAGACCACCCGGCCTTGCTCGCATGTGCTCGATCAATGCTGAGACCTATCCAAACAGATCCTGCGTCCACGATGGAAGTCATTATACGCCGCCAGACGCCGCCAGCTCGGCCCGCAGATAGGCCTGCCTGTTCTGCCAGACAGCTTCTTTGGCTGGATGCCCGCCCTCTACAAGATCACCGAGGACCAAGTCCTGGCCTCGGCTGGCCTTGACGCCTTTGTTGTATGTCTCCATTCTCCATTCGCATCACACTCCTCTTTCTCGCCGTACCACGATAGTCGTGGCCTGACCAGACTTCTGCCCAGCTCCTCGCCTTCTTCAAGCTGTCGATCAAACTCTTTGCCATCCTCTTCTTCTTCGCCGCCGTCGTCCTCGAGCCCATAAACCGGCGGTACAACGCCGACGAGGCTGCGCCCCCGCCCCCCGACGATGATAGCGACAACAGTTGGAACTACGACATGGGCTACCTCTGGGCCTACCTCGTCTTTACCTACTTCTTCACCCTCCTGACCATACACCTCCTGGACAAGGAGACCTTCAAGGTTATCAAGATACGACAGGACTACCTGGGCACCCAGAGCACCATCACCGACAGGACCTTCAAGCTCTCCGGCATGCCCCGCGAGCTCCGTGATGAGGCCAAGCTTAAGGAGCTGGTTGAGAGGCTCGAGATCGGCAACGTCGAGAGCGTCACCCTGTGCCGCAATTGGAAGGAGTTGGACGACCTGGTCGCCGCAAGAGCTAGGACCCTGCGCAAGCTGGAGGAGGCCTGGAGCGTCTACCTGGGCCAGAAGTCTACAAACTGTCTTGATGACAGACACAGGCTCGTCAGCAACGCCGTCGGCCCTCACGACGACTCGGCTGTCGTTGACGAGGAGGCCCAGGATGGAGAGCGCACCGGCCTCTTGGCTGGTGGACAGAACGATTCTTCCCATCACCACTGGGTCGACCGACCTCGCCCGCAGACGCTCGTCTGGTATGGGCCGTTTAACCTTCGGTACAAGAAGGTCGACGCCATCGACTACTACGAGGAGAAGCTGCGTCGGCTCGACGAGCAGATCCGTGTGGCCCGTAAGAAGGAGTACGAACCGGTCGATCAGGCATTTGTGACGATGGACTCTATTGCAGCCTGTCAGATGGCCACCCAGGCACTGATCGACCCTCGCCCGGGCCAGCTCTTGACCAAGTACGCGCCGGCCCCCTCGGACGTCGTCTGGCGCAACACCTATGCTTCTAGGAAGAGCAGGGTCATCAAGGGGTGGATCATCACCATCTTCATCAGTATCCTCTCGGTCCTGTGGCTTCTTCCCGTCGCTACCATTGCCAGTTTGATGTCACTCTGTACCATCAAGAAGGTCTTCCCCGGTGTCGCCGAATTCCTCAGCGATCATGAGATTATCAAGGCTCTAGTTCAGACCGGCTTGCCAACGGCCGTTGTTTCCCTGCTCAACGTCGCCATTCCATTCCTCTACGACTATCTGTCCAACAGCCAGGGCATGCTCTCCCAGGGCGAGGTCGAGCTGTCCATCGTGTCCAAGAACTTCTTCTTCACCTTCTTCAACATTTTCCTCGTCTTCACCGTCTTCGGCACCGCGACTCAGATCTGGACCGTCCTGCGCAGTTCCTTCAAGGACACCACATACATAGCCCGGCAGCTCGCCCGGCAGATCCAGAACCTCAACGTCTTCTACCTCAACTTCATCATGCTCCAGGGCCTGGGGCTGTTCCCCTTCCGCCTGCTCGAGTTCGGCGCCGTCTCCCTCTACCCGATCAACCGCCTCGGCGCAAAGACACCCCGCGACTACGCGACCCTCACCGTGCCCCCCGTCTTCAGCTACGGGTTCTACCTGCCCACCTCGCTGCTCATCTTCATCCTGTGCCTGGTCTACTCGGTCCTGCCGCGCGGCTACATCATCCTCGCCGTGGGCGTCGCCTACTTCACCCTGGGCTACTTCACCTACAAGTACCAGCTCCTCTACGCCATGGACCAGCCGCAGCACGCTACCGGCGGCGCGTGGCGCATCATCTCGTACCGCGTCGTCCTCGGCCTCATCGTCTTCCAGATCACCATGGCCGGCTACCTCTCCCTCCAGCTCGCCTGGCTGGCGTCCTCGCTCGTCATCCCCTTGCTCATGGGCACCGTGTGGTACTCGTACTACTGGAGGCGCCAGTTCGAGCCCCTCACAAACTACATCGCCCTGCGCTCCATCCGCCAGCGCCACCCGGGCCGCAGCAACGGCGGCAGCGGCACGACCTCCCCCGACGGCGAGGACGACGACGACGACAACGAGGCGTTCGGCGGCCCCGGCCGCCGCCCCAACCCCGCCTCCAGCCAGAGCCTCCTCCGCCGCCGCAAGAGCACCGTCGACGAGGACAAGGAGAAGGGGCTCCGGTTCGTCAACCCCAGCCTCGTCGTGCACCTCGAGCAGCCGTGGATCTACAGGGACCCGCCGCCGCTGCTGGCGAGGGACTCGAGCGCCGGGTCGGAGCGGGGGGACGACGGGTCGTTCTTCAGGTACGAGCAGGGGAGGGAGAGTATCGTCGGCGTTGGGGGCGGCGCGCCGAGGACCGCCGAGCCGGAACAGGCTGATACCTCTGGGCCCCCTGCTGCGCCGGAGGGCCACGGCAGCGGGGGTGGGAATGGTGGTAGCAACGGGGGTAGCAACTCCAGTTCCCTGAGCCTGGGTGACACGCATATCTGGAGGTCATGACGATGATGAAGGTGATGATGATGAAGAAGAGGTGAGGGGTGGGAGTTGAGCGGGTGAGCGAGCGGGTGCTTGAATGAAATGAGATTCCTTTTTACCCCCCATTTTCATTGTTTGATAGCATTTTAAGGAAGCAAGCAAAGCAAGCAAGCAAGTAATACCCCATACCCCATACCCCCCTTGAGCATGAGATAGCAAATCCGAACTGTGCGTTGAGATAGATCAAGGACGTTTTGCACCTGTGATCCGGCCTTCTTCTTCTCTTGTGTTGTGCGTATGTTTATATCTCCCACCATCTCTCTCTCTAACCGGCACGGCGCTCGTCGACCGCCTGTCTGGTCACCGTGTCCATGATGAGTCGGGACTTCAGACGAGACCAAACCCCAGAACGACCATGGAACGCTAAATCAGCAATATCCGAGAAAAGCAAAACAAAACAAAACACTCATCACTCCATGTCCATATCATCATAACTAGAGCTGCCATCATCAGAAATGAGAATCGCACTCGACGAAGTCCCACCCGAACCATCAGCCTCCTCCTCCCGCAGAGCTGACGAGGCCGACTCCGCCTGGGACTCCATCTCATCGGCAGGAGGAGCATCATCATCACCACCCTCATCACCGCCATGGTGAGTTTCACGGCCCGCCTCGATGTCCTCCATCCGCGCGATGAACTCATCCTGCAGCCTCATCAGGTACCCCCGCAGCGTGCCCCCGTCCATGCCACTCTCGTGCGCCTGCTGCAGCGTCTCGCGCAGGTTGAGCACCAGCCTCCTGCGGCGCGCGAGCCGGCGCGCCTCGGAGCTCTGCCTCTTGGCCTCGGCCTGCCGGCGCAGGAACGCGGAGACGTGCTCGGCCCTCTGCAGGAACGCCTCGGGGAACCCGACGGCCCTCGCCAGGTTGATCCCGTAGCTCTCCTCCTGCACGACGCCGGACCCGATCTTGTACAGCATCGTCATCTGCGGGATGTTGTCGGCGGCGGTCGTTGTTTCCGTCTCGAGGTGGAGGTTGAGCACGCTGGGCCGGTCCTGCAGGACGTGTGCCAGCTCCGTGAAGTGCGTGGCGAAAAAGACGAGGGCGTTGCTCTGGATCAGGGCCTCGGCCATTGCGATGGCGATTGCGAGGCCGTCGCGCGTGCTGGTGCCGCGGCCCAGCTCGTCGATGATGGTGAGGCTCTTGTCGTTGATGTTGCGCAGGATGAAGGCCATGTCTCTCATCTCGACAGAGAAGGTCGACATGTTTGACTCGATGCTGTCGTCGGTGGATGTTCGAGAGAACAGGTTGTGTACGACGGTGAAGGATGCGAATTGCGCCGGGACGAAGCAGCCTATCTGGGCCATGACTTGTAGCATAGCAACAGTGCGGATGTACGTACTCTTGCCGCTCATGTTGCAGCCCGTGATGATTTGGAAGGCATGCTGCTCTGTTGCGTAGTAGTCATTGGGAATGAATTTGTCCAGCGTCTGTCCAAAGTTGACACGTTAGGCACAAGCGCGCAATAGGAATGTTCCACCAAAGTGTGCCCAGCAATAGCCTACCGAGTCATAGATGGGATGTCGAGCTGCCTTCAAGGCCAGTGCGTCCTTCATTTGGGGCCGGCAATAGTCTCGCGTGGTCACAGTTTGACCGAATGAGGCGAGCATGTCCAGAAGAGCGATGCTCTCGCAGACCCTGAAAAGCTGGGGAATGTCAGCTCTGATCGAGTTCAACAGGTGCCTGACGACCTTGTCACTCTGCATGACGACCTCGTCCACCGAGTCGGTTATGCGCTGGTTTAGCTTCACCATCTGCAGCGTCTGGCATTCCAGGTATTCTTTCTTGCGGATGCAGTTGATGAGAGGGCCTGGGATTCGGGCGTCCTCGAAATCACAGCAGCGAAATTTTAACCAGTACCTACGACGGTTGTCGTACTTGAGGTCCGCTGCCAGTCCAAGCTCTGCGTTGAGTTCTTCCACATGCTTGTGTAGATCTTCTGTTGCTTCTTTGTAGGTGGTGCGTGCGACATCGAGTAGGCCATGCACTCCTGCCTTAACCGCGTAGACCCTCTGGTTTCGGAGGTCAAGGGGCTTGGTGACGTAGGTGACGTCGTCGTTGATGACTTCTGCTATCCGTTCAAGAATGGGATTGGTGATGTCGGGGCGGCAGTGGTCTCGAATCTTGATGAGGAGCTCGGAGCGTGCGGAGGCCAGGGGATTGAAGATGGCAGGGGCGGCCAACACAAAAGCTTTGATCATCAAGACTTCGTTGATGGCTTGCTCGCTTGCCCCTATAGAAGATTCTGTGGGGAGAAGGATCAGTTTGCTGAGAAGTTTCTCCACGTCGCCAAACCCCTTCAGACCATTGCGAACTGCGAAAAACATCTCTTCGTTGGTGCAGAGCTCTTCAACAGCGTCATATCGGGGCATCAGCACGCCTTGGACCTGCGTGGATGGCTGGAGCACATTACTCCTGAGCATTCTTTTCCCCATGGGCGTCCTAGTCTCGTTGAGCAGGCCGAAAAGACAGAGTTTGGAGGAAGGATTGTGGAGATTCTGGATGAGCTCCAAAGAATGGATGGTGGGAAGACTGATCATCATGGATCCTTCAGATGGCTGGTATCTGATACGCAGGGAGTGGCTCGAGACTCGGAGGGAAAATTCGAGTTCGAGATATTTCATGGCCTGTGTCAATCAGTCTTCAGGCCTTGGCCGCTGTGGTTTAGGCAACTTACCGCAGAGAACGAACAGGTGGCGTAGAAGTTGCCCTCAATGGCAACTTTGATGGCCTCAACATCTTCCTTGAATGCAAGTGCCTGGATGTACTCCAAGCCAGTCGTCTCGGACCAATACTTCCTGTCCAAGGCAATGATTGGCACGCCTGGCAGCTCTTCCTCGATGGTGGCGCACAAGCTGCTCTTGGGGTTGGGAGGACAGGCAGTGGACACGATGAGGATGCGGCTGGGCTCGAAGACGGTCAATTTGTGGGTGGTCTTGACGTAGGACTGATTGTCGCAGATCTGGCTCAGAACGGCCTCGCCAGTCGAGACATTGGCAAAGGCTATGCCAACGGATGGGGCGACACCACGCGCCTCGCTCACGGCGCAGATGATCTGGTGCCCTTCACTCGCACCGATAGAAGATGTGGCACGAGAGCGACGGCCGCTGCCTGTTGTGGTGCCCGTGCTGTACGATGGAGTGGCCGGGGTGCGGCAGGCTCGACCAGGACCTGGCCCAGTCGAAAAGGTACGAGGGATGGACGATTTGCTTGACGAAGTGGTTGAGCGGGGACTGGACGACGTGACCTGGTAGTGTGGTGACTGTGGTGGTATGGATGCCATGGCTGGTACTCGCTGTCAAGCTTGCTCTTCGATGACAGGGATGTTTGACAGCTACGGTGATGTGTGATGAAGGGGAGAGAAGAGGCAACTGAAAGGGGACAATTCGAGACTCGAAAGCAACGAAAGGGACTTGTGATGGGCACCTTCTGACCTGTTTGCCTTTATGGAAGCCCTTGGGCAGGTGCGATTTCTGCTCGAGGGTCCCCTACTCGGCCAAGGTTTCTCCATCCTACCAGGGCTCTGCATGGTAGGTATCATGTACCTGTCGTGTGGAATCGGAAGGAGCGCACCACATTGCATCATACAGCCACCTGGGGTCACCTTGACCTCGCATGTCAATAACCCACTGCACACAAACTTCAACATTACCTACTACACTTTTGATCTGCTCACTTTGCTAAATATTCACGCACATTTGACAAAACCACCACAAACACCACCCGAGACCATTTCCACCACTACTTCGAATCCAGCGACAGTTACATGCTGATCAAGATGGAGCGCAAAGAAACCGTCACGATCACAATGTTGATATACTACACCTTCATGTGGATCTTCAACTGGGTAGCCACCGGCTACTACATTCATAAGTTCATGGAATACGACAAGTTCTACGCACTACTGCTCCTCCTACACGTGGTCTGTGCCAACTTCGCCCTGCTCCTAGCTTTTCAGAGGCTAGCAGACGTGATGCTGCGCGACTTGGATTACGCTTACAACACTTGCGACAACATCCTCGGGCGGATCTTGCAACGTCTCGACCCTCAGGAACCTAAGGGTGAAGATCAAGTCTGAGCCTCGGGGGAAGGGGGGGGGGATCTACTGGGTCACACTGCGGTTGATTGTTCACATGGAGGAGGATTAATGGATTTGGGCCGAGGGTTCCGGCGGCTGGAGTCCTACTGTTTTCGCAAAGCTCACACACACACACGCAAACTACTTTCCGAGAAACCAACAAGTCAGTAGCATCGACCTAGAAATCAACGTTCATACTGGAGCTACTCTTCAGGTGATAGTTCTCCGCAATTTCAGGAACTCAGCACATGCCAATGCATCGCAGGTGTGTCAACTGGTTCCAGCCGACGTGATATCTCCCTCCGGCGCCCAGCCGGTCAAAATGCCATCTCAGAACTCAACTCCCATGTTTCAATGCGGCCCAGTGTCATCCCGTGCAATGGATCATGACATCTGCTCGCATCAGTGTCGCCTCCTCACCACCGGAGCCGGCCGACCCAGCGGGGTCAGCGGCGCCGCTGGAGTGTTAGGCGACACTGGTGGCAACAGTCGCATGTAGTCGTCAAAGGCAACACTCGCGAAGCGCTTGATGCCAGCCAACGGCGCCGGCGGGGGCGGCGGGGGCTGCGGGAAGAGGACGGGCAGGACCTTCTTGGCCAGGCTCGGGTAGGCGGCGGTGAGCTCGTCCCAGGCCGCGTCCCTCTCGTACATCACGACTTCGATGTTGTCGGCGATGACCTTGATGATGACCTCCTCCAGCAGCGTGTCGGGATAGCTTCCGAGCACGGTGCGGCACATTTCCTTGTAGTTGATGAATCGCTTGTTGATGATGAGCTTGCGGAGGGCCCTGCTCGCCTCCTCGGCGGCCTTGTTCCGCAGCTCCTTGACCTGGAAGTAATCGGCGACGACGAAGGCCCGGAGGGGCTGGCGCTTCTGGTTCTCGTCGAGTTGGCGCCTGTAGAGGTACTTGAGGAGGCTGTCGACCTCCTCCTCGAGGAAGTCACAGCTCATCAGGTTGATGGTCTTGGACTTGGCCTCCTGTGTGAAGTTGGACTCGTCATCAGTTTTGCCCCACCCATCCCACCAATCTCTCTCTCTCTTAGCAGCGGACTTACCATGAAGTGGCCCTCCAGGGCCTTGGCAAAGTACTGCGACTGGTTGCAGATGATCGCGCGGTGGACGCGCCAGGTCTTCTGGCCCATGACGATGGTTGCATCGGCAAACTCGTCGTCGCCCCAGAGCCTACTTGCCCCGTAGGCTTTAGTGACACCGTCAATGGGCGGAGGGGCTTCCATGATGGCTACACGTACTTGTTGACCAGGGCCTCGGAGGAGTCAGTCATCTTTGCAGGCGGCAAGTTGGCGATGCTTGAAAGTGTGTGTCGTTGTCGGTGTGGGTGGGTGAGTGGATGGCACCTGGGGGATGGCTTCAACAAGGTTTCAAAAGCCTGCAGATGGCTGCGTCCTGTGCAAAAAAAAAAAAAAAGATTGCGCCAAAAGGGTGACAGCCCCCAGAATCGAGGCAAGCAGTCCACCGGTGGCTCCCATGTAGTGGGGGAAGCGCCGCACTGGTCTGGTGTGTAGAAAGTTGGTTGATTTTGGAGAAAGTTGAGAGAAAGGGTCATATTTGGAGCCTTTGCTACCTAGGTATCTAGGTACCTAGGTACCTGGGTACCGTGTGATCTGACCTGGAAGGAACTGAGTGAAAATAGGTTTTGAAATTCCAGACCACCTGGGCAGCCAATTCCTGAGGTCCTCTCTGGAAGCGCTCAGCATCAGAGCAAACGGCCAGAGGAGACTCTGAAAGGCAGGGACCACTTTTGTCTGCCCAACTCAAAGCTCTTGGTGCCACTCTGAAGCTCAGCCGGAGATTAGAAGCGGTGAAGACGGCTTTCAAAGGGATGTCAGAACAAGGCCAGCAGTAACAGACCTCCAGAGTCTCCGCGATCCTCAGGACCGTGTTGTGACCTTAGGGAGCCCGTAAAGAGCACGTGATATCTTCCCCGCCTCAGGGACGGTGAATTGAAATACAAGACCCTGTTTAAATGTTGCACGGCAGTGAGGTCAACTTTGGAAGCCCCATACCGGCATCGGTTTCGCTATATGGCCCAATCGGGCCGTTGGCAGAGTCCCTTGCCAGCGAAACCTCTGCAATACATGAACATGTCCGGAGCTCTGAGTCAGGGCTACAGACTGTTGGTAAACGCCTCATGCCTCTCGCCGGCGCTGCCCATTCATCTTGCACACGCCAGATTCGAGGGATGGCCCGATGGTACTTAGGTAGCTTAAAAAGTTCTCGCCATCAGAATTAACTGCTGGCTCTGCGTCTCCGGAATCCCCGATGAGGCCTACTCTGCGTCGTATCATGATGATGGCCATGTGAATGTACGCGGTAAAAGAGGAGATCAAATACAGCCCAGCAAACGCTTATGTGCTTGAGGAACTGCCCCAGCCAGGTCTTCCTCCTTGGAGTCAGGATGTAGACGAAGATGACTCTATGGACATAGGTTGACCACGCACAGCTTGTCAGTCCTGTATCATGCTTGTGATTTCACAGCACAGAATATCGATGGATCCTTCGATGTCAAAGACTTGCTCTTGGATCTTTCCAAGCGGTTGGAAAAGATTTCGATAAAGGCAGTGGTCGAAACAACTTCCAAGGTTGGTGCGAGGTGAGGTGTCTGTGTTGAATTTGGGTAAGTTGACCCGGTGTCAGCCAGACCTGGATATCGTGGCGGCCCTGTCGCAACACAATCGGAAGTACGAGTCCAACCTCCAGATGTCCCATTGGAGAAGTCAAGAATCCACGTTCGGGGTTCCATTCCGGATGACGTGCAGCTGGGCACTTGATTCGATCTGATCGCTTAGCAGGTACCATGTTGACAGGTCGATTTCACCAGACGGATTGCTAAGTACCAAGATAGTCCTCCTTCAATCAGGCGAAACGCCAAATTTTGTTCCGTAGGTATTTCACCACAATGGTCGCGAGGCACTCACTGCCAGCGTTGGCCTACCGGACCTTGCCAAGCCCGGGGTCGCAACGATGTTAAACATAACCAATCGTGACATGCCGGACCTGACCAAGATCTGCAGGGGCAAGCAACACCACAGGGCTCAGGGTTTCTGCCGTATAACAAGACAAGGCCTCCCACCCCGCGGATGTCAGCAACTTCCTCCCCATCATGTCCCTCTCTTCTCAAGATCCTTGCCCTCATCAAGCCGCCATGTTCGAAACATCAAGCCGTCGCCCGTGAATATCGTGCATGGCTAGCTATCGCAGGCATCATCCCGGCTCTGCATGACGCGGCCCGCCTACGAGCAGATGCCCACCTGCTTGATGCCCGCCAAGTTTCTTGTTCGCCATGACATGAGGCCAGGGCCATCGACCGAGATCGCCATTCGGATGAATGTCACCCGCAGCCTTGGCGTTTGACTGGCCCCAGCGCATCCAAAACGCGAGCCGCTGCCCGCACTATATATCAGCAGAGGAGCAAGCACCTGTCATGCGAACTTGACAGCTTTCATCTCATTCTTTTCTTTTTCCTCCTCGGTGTTTGGCTTTGCTCATAGGTTTTGCTCATAGATCGCTTTCGCCTGTCTAAATCAGCCACAGCCTGGAGGTGAGGGGAACAAGCCCTGGGCGCCGTTGTTAGCTGTGGTGAAGCGGTTGTGCCTTATTACAAGGCACCAGAGAGGCCCTCGGTCTTGCTCCCAAGATAATTCCTATTATTCTTTTGTTTGCAGGAGTCTGCGTTTGTTCCATATATACCACATAGACTGTATATTGCACCATGTCACTGTTCAGGGCATGCTGCCTACTAGTAGTAGTACTTGTGGTGTTTTCTACCGAGATTGTTACCGCACGAGCATCTAAGGATAGTTCCTCGGCCGGTTGTTCGAAGAGTGGCGGGAATTTCACGCGTGGAACCAGTACCGAAACAATCGGAAATCGATCATATCTGCTCTCGATACCGGCCGACTATTCATCGGACACCCCGACCCCGCTTATCCTGTCGTTCCACGGTGGTGGTCAAACTCCCTCGATCCAGCTCGACGCCGATCAGCTGGCCAACGGGAGTGTGAATGACCAGTATATCGTTATTTACCCAGAGGCAGTCCACGTATGTTTCCGCACCGGGGAGGACCGATGATCACCCAGGTCGCCCAAGTACCTACTGACAAATCCAACCCCCAGACACAATGGCAGGTCAGCCCCGACAGCGCCTCAGACGACCTCGACTTCGTCACGGACATCCTAGACAAAGCCGAGTCAGAGCTATGCATCGACACCTCCCGCCTCTACGCGACGGGGAAGTCCCAGGGCGGCGGCATGGTAGGCATGCTGGCGTGCGACGAAATCCTGTCGACGCGGATCGCCGCGTTCGCGCCCGTCTCGGGCGCCTTCTACGTGGCGGGGGCCCAAGGCGGGGACGAGTGCGACCCCGGGACCGTCGACCTGCCCTGCGCCGCGGGGCGGCCCGACATCCCGGTGCTGGAGTTCCACGGGGGCGGCGACGAGGTGATCCCCTACTACGGCGACGCGGGGAAGCGGGGCGCGTGCCTGCCTACCATCCCGCACTGGGTGCGGGCGTGGGCGCGGCGCGACGGGCTCGGGGCGGACACTAATGAGTCGACGGCTATCACCAAGGCGGCGACGTGGTTCCGCTTTGGGGAGGGGCCGAGGCTCGGTCTCGTTTCGCATGTGTATGATGGGGGTAATGTCGGGCATGTCTGGCCGGCGATGGTCGGGGGGGACGCCGGCGGGGGCTCGCCCGCTGGCACGGCGTCGTTTGATGCGACCCCGATGATTCTTGAGTTCTTTGGGAATTATACCCTGCCTGCCAATGATACCGGTAGTGTCCCGACCGGGACGGATGGCATCGGCGGCAGCACTCAAGACAGCACCGACAACAGCTCTAACTTGTCCGCTGGGAGCCGGAAGGTGGCGACGGTCTGGGGGCTTGTGGGGTACTCCATGTTCAAATCACTCCTTTGAGCTTATCAACCCAACTCAGACGACCGGCTCTTTCAGATTGCAGGCGCCTGACGAAGTAATCATACGTGAGATGTCGGAATCAGGTGGTAATTCGCATGGTTGAAGGAAAGCCTAATGTGTGGGTCGGCTCCAGGACTGTTCAAGTCAAGTCTGATGCTCAACTTAGTTTCGAAGGCCGATCTACAAGATGAATTCAAAAACGTTGAAGCGAGGTGATGTGCCGTCTTAGCAAATTTGGAAAGGGCTCAAGCACTTGTCAACGGACCCCAGGCTGATAATCGTCATCAATCACTTGATATGACCGGGGAGAAGATTTCTCAAATTGTCATGGAGTCCTGCTACTGCAAGATTTGATTGACGAACCTCAATGTGCTTAACATGTGATGGTGAAATTTCGTAGAGACTTGGACGTTTGTAGATTTACCGTGGCCTTTTTCCGGGATTGTCATGCAGTCGAAGGGGACAAGGTGATTGCAGCTAACATGACCAGTCGACAGCCTCGTGGGCACTTGGTTGACGGCATCGGTACTTGACAACTCGACGTTCGGTGTGAAGCTTGGGCTTGTCGTCTGCGGTCGACTGGTCGAGAGAGCACATCCGCCGCAACCGTAGCTCGGTGTCTTGCAAGGTTGGTTTTGTGTTTGCTTGATGCCAGCGCGGTAAGGCCCAGGCTCATGACGCGTGCCCCAAGATCATGATGAGCACAACCCGAGACCTCGGGATTCGAATGAGGAGCGAGTCTTCCCGTCGTCTCGCCGTTCAGATGTTTGGTGAGTTTAGATATTGATGAGTGCAGCTGGATGGACAGGGGCAGGGTTAGGGTGACTCAGCAGGCACTGCAGCCTGCACTAGTGCCACCTGCTGCCTTGGCACCCCAAAGGCGGTGAAAAACCGTCCGCAGGGGCGGCAGAATCCTAGCGCCAGAAATATTTAAAGCTCAGCCGCCTCCCGCCCTCAACCCTCCGACCTTCCCTTTTTCTCTTTTTCTCTTCATCCTGGTGCACGGGCTTTACGCAATTCAGTGAAGGTTCGCCTGAGAATGCGTTTTTGCTAGTTGAAAACTATAACATGACCACTCCTAGCTGGCTTCGGCTGGCTAGGGAATCTTTGGAACCCTCAAATCTTTCTTGACTGATTTTTGTCTTTCGTTGTCCTGGTGCGCTTGCGAGCCAGACGAGGAAGGATTTTTTCGTGTGTGGGACCTACCTGCCTGCTCGGCCGTGACTGGCGACTGGCCATGCGCAAAACCAATGCTCTGTCTTTTTGTTCACAGCTTCAAATGCCTGCGCCCTCGATCCTACGTGCTCTCGCATCCAGATCGCTAGTCCAAAACCTGCCTGCGCGCACAGGTCACGTGCGACCTCGACATTTTGGTCGCGTCGACCCGCCACGTTCCACGACGCGCTGTCGCGACAGCCTCCATTCACCCTGTTTCCCCCGGCAGCAGCCGCCCCACGCCTCTGCCTGCCGCACAGCTCAGTCGCAAGCGACGCTGCGAGCCGCCCTCATCGGCGCGTGTATGGCTCAACCAACTACCGTCTCGCTGCATACATCCTGCAAGCCCTGCCTCGTCTGCCTGACCTTCCTACTCTAGATGTGGATGACTCTCCCCTGCGCGAGCAGCACTTCTCGGCTGCCCTACCCTTGGGTCATAAGCACGCCACTGTCCCATGGATCTTGCGCTGGATGGTACTGGATCGCCCCGATGTCGAGCTGGTCCCTCCCTGGCCACCCAGCATGCTGAGATCGTGCTTGCCGCCGTCGCCGCCATCGCAAGCCCAGAGGACAGGGCTGGATAGGACTTGGCTGCGTCTATTAGCCTGACGGCACGAATGGGGAGCCTGCTTATCTCTCTCATCACAGGCGAGCGTAGAAAATACCTTATTGACTCTCATTCCTATATCGCCCCCCAACGACATTACGTGCAGCTCGAGCTCCAGGTCAACCTCCCCGGCCTTGCCCGCCCCTGCTGCCGTGGAGCCATCCCCATCGCGATCTGCCCGGCCCTCTGGCCCGCCCAGTTTCTTGCAAACCACTAGGGGTCCCAGGACAGCGAGGACGAATACTGCGGGAGCCCCTCAAGCTCGCAGCCGGGCCAGCCAGCCTCTGCACGGCATCACGGCCTGCTCAGCTCCGTGCTGCGGTGCTGCACCTCCATGTCCCCGTCCCACGTGGTGCCCGAGACCTCTGCTGCCCTCATCCTTGTTGTCGCCATTCCCTGCCTGTGGTTTTTGGGGGATGTGATGAAGTACGCAGCAGTCCATCAGTATGTGGCCAGTTGCGGATGATATGCACCGAAAAACGCCCCGCCCGCGCCCGTCCGGGTCCTCGGCTACCAGGTCACACTTGTCGTCCGCCCATGCTCTGTGGATTGGGAACCCGGCCTTGAGCTACGCCACGTCTTCGTCGCTGATCGCCAGGCCCTAAGGTGGTGTGAGGGGCGCCTTCTTCGGTCTGGTCTCTTGGAATTATAGATGGGCTTGTTGTACCTGGGCGCGTCCCACGACTCCGGCTCCTCCTTTGTATTGTTGTGGGATGCCATCTTGTGACTTGCGCTGCAGAAAATCAGAAATGGTATTTATGCGGTGGCCGCGGGTGAGTGCTGTGACTGACTAGGTAACTGGCTCGGTCCGGAATTTCTCAGACCGTCACAACAGTTGATGAGGGGTGAGTCGGTTGACCCGGTGCGACGTGGCGGAAGCGCGGCCGTCGGGCACGGGACAGAAAGGCGCGCGCAAAGCACCCCTCGGGAACCGAAGCCGCGTCCAAAGCGGCGGGTGATAGAAGCTGTACGTCCCCCACCGCCGCCGCCACGCCGACGCGGCCGGGCGACGCCGGCATCTCAGCATCGATGGCCGCGCACAGCCGGTCCCAGGCCCTGATGCAAGCCGTGACCTGTGCCTCGCCGTACGGCCGCCACTCCCACGGTCCGATCTTTTCGACTCCGAAAAGGGCGGGCTCCCCCGCGGGCGACGCCGCGATCTTGCCGAGACGGAGGAGCCCGACCCAGTTGGACAGGACGGTCTCGAGCGGGTTCCAGAGTGCCGGGTGCGCCCCGGCCGGCAGTGCATAGCCAAAGTCGTCCATGTGCATCAAGACTGCGGCGCGGTGGGTGCCCTGGTGATAGTACAGGCCGCCGCCAGACACCCCGTCCTGGCCGATATTGGGCCAATACAAGCACACCAGGCCGTCGTCCGGCTCGTCATGCAAGTCAGCCGTCTCGCTGGCGAAGATGTCGTCTGGCTCAGACAGCCCCTGTGCCCAGAAGAAGAAAGGCGGGGCTTCGGAGGCGCCACCAGGGAGCACGGCGGTGTCGAGGAAGGCCGCGAGCGACGGGTCGAGGCGCGGGCGGAGAGCCTCGGCGGCGGGGCCGTGGGTGGTGAAGAAGGTATTGTTCACGGGAAGAGCATCTGGGGGGCGGCCTTCGGCGAGCCAGGCGTAACGGACGAGGTAGTTGTGCAAGGCCGCACATCGTGCGTGGTCTATTGCTGCCGCGCCGCCTCGCGCCGGGTTCTCGGCTGTGACGAGGAAGCCGTCAATGTCGGAGTCGGAGACCGAGGAGGGAGCCATGGCATGCGCAGAGATGCTTCGCATTTGCGAGGGGCAACGGAAAGAGTAAGTAGTCATCCAAGGTTCTGCTGTCAGCATTGAGGAGGGCCCAATGCAGCACGCCCTCTTATTGGCGCCGGACCTCCTCGCAGCCCCATCCTCTTGGCAGGAGGTAGTCTACTGTCGGGTGAGTAGTTGCATCGTTCAGACTGCGCCCAGATTGACGAATCTTGTATATAGGACTCATCATCCTGCTACATATTGGAGCTTGTGGTTGGTTGACAAGGAAAAGGCTCACTCAGGCTCAACTTGGAACTACTAGTATGTGTCATCCGTCGCCCACCCCGCACAATGTTCTTGTCAACACTGGCTTCTGTAAGCCCAGACCGTGAAACACATCCGCGAGTGGGTAAGGGAATAAAACGAATCTGGGGGGCTTAGGTAGTCTGCCAAATGGTTACTGTCTGCACTCACAACGTCTACGCCATGCAAATGGTCATCCGCCGCACATGTACTCCTTGACAGGCCACCTAAAACGGCCTGCTCAGTATGATCTTGCGGTTTCCATAAACGACTATAAAATACAGTGCGGAAGGACATGATATATGATAGCTGCACCATGGACGAATAAGCCTCGCAGGATGGGGCAGACTCTGGGCGAAGGATCAGGCAGCAGCTTTCTGCTCATCAAAGCGCCAATGCACTGCCACGCCGCTCCTGCAAGTAGCTGCATACGTGCGCGAACCGCTACCGCATGGAGAGAGAGATTGGTCCTTGGTTGGCTGGGGAAAGGCGATATCTCGTGTTGTGAAACGCTGGTTTGTTACCGCAGCGAGGGACTCGCGTCCTCAGACACCAAGCATTTGGGCGGGTCAACAGAAGGCCGAGTGGTTGTCCCCTGCCTTTGCTTCGTTATTGACAGTGTCGACAGTGGAATTGGTCTTGGAGATATAAACTGAGGTCGCATCGTCGGAGTATCAATGCAGGACTCGAGTCGTGTTCAGTGCAAGTAACAAAAGTTTGACATTCGGCAAACCATATTGGAACGTCCCAGGCGCCGTCCCATCACACAAATAGACCAGTCATGGACCGAAAGAATGATAATACAGGTTAGTATATTCCAGCGACTTCATTATTATTCCTTGTCGTGCCCACTATTCACCCTACAGAACCGTCCACCGATGCTAACGCGATTTCTAAAACCAGAGACGACCATCCCTTTGCTGCAAGGGACATCAAGATCAGCAGGTCCCAGCTCCCCCATACTCCCACAATACCAAGCGAACCTCCTAGACGACCTCCCCGCCGTGCCAGAAGCCGACAATAGCACAAGGCACGGCTCCATCCAACACCAACAAATCCAGCGGGAGGATATCTACGCAGCTTCTTCACCAGCCAGAACACAGTCCGTCCCGGGCAACCAGCAGTCGGCTAGGCAATGGCACCGCTCTATCCTCCAGCGGGCTGAAACGGCACGCTCAAACGGAGGTCAGCCCCCGTGGGCCAACGTCGTGCCTCTGTCGCTGCTAGGCCGCTGGGCGGCCGTGGTAGAGTGCCCTCTGTGCAAGGAGCTCACGCGCACTACACTCAGGCACGAGACCGGGAAGGGAACGCAGTGAGTTCAGACTTTGTTTCTCTTCCCTGCCTGCATTGCTGCTCTTTCTATGTTCTCGGCTGACCCACCTGTGGCGTTGACAGCTGGATGGCAACGCTTCTCTTCTTCACCACTGCAGTCGGTGCGTTCATCCCCTATGTCACGGACTTTTCCAAGAATGTCCGCCATAGCTGCTTGAAATGTGGTAGCACACTGGCCACGAACCACTTCGGGAGCGGAACTGAGGCGCACTTGATTTGAACGTCTAGAGAAGTAGCAGGTCATTGGATCCTGCTGGTCTTTTGATGAGGTGCCTAGGATTTCACGGTCGAATTCAAAAAAATGCCCCGGGGTGCGCTCATGCACAATTGTCCGGTTGATGCGTCTTTGGATCATGCGTCGTACTTATTTTATTCTACGATGTGATTAATTCCTGAGGTGTAGCTACAGTCACGCTTTTTCGGAATGCCATCAATCAAAATCATATATAAAGAGAGCACTCTCAACACTTAAGACGATAGATGCACAGTGATGTGTTCAAACAAGTTCGCTATCTAAGCCGCGATGCTTGTTGGCTAGATGTTTCAACGTTTGCTTGAACCCTTTCACACAAGCGGCAACGATTTGGCGCTTGAATGTGTTCGGTCAAACATAATAATTACTCGAATGCCCATGTTGTACATTTCTTCTCCCGGAATCCCGGGTATACACTTTCTCCAATCCCAAAACAACAAGTCGCCGTATACAATTCAACCACGTGTGGGATACTTCGGTACGAAACCTCATTTCCGTTTGACACAAAACTAATCTAATTAAGGATGTGCCTGATGGGGACCACAAGGGCCAATTGCTTGCCTACAGCAAATTCAGGCCCAAGCGACATGGCCGAAAACTTGAGATCAGCGTCGGTGAACAGCGACCTTGATGATATCGATTCACTTCTGAGTGTAGCTTCAGTTTTCCAGACTAAGATACTGATGGGTATACTAGCTGGAGCTGGAGCGGCATTCCTCTTATCTGTGCTATTATTCCTCGTACTTCATGTAAGAGAACGATCGAATAAGGACACGATGGGAAACAACGGGTCATTGGGCAAGCTTCGGACATTGGTTATGACCTTATCCTCATCAGCTTTTGTGCTTGCAGTTGTTTCTGTAGTGACGACATCTGAGGTGTGCGGTGCTGTTCAATATGCAAATGGAGCACTTGAAAGCAACCCATCTATACTCATCAATGCCGGCATAGCGATACAAGTCCTGCAATATCTGATCGACGGGTTCTCACTAGTTTTTCATCTGCTTTTACATATCCTAGTATCTTCGGCCGGCGGGCCTACGGTGTCAAAGCACCTAACTCCTTCGACGAAGCCAGTGCCGCCTTCCGCCAGAGCATTGCCCGCAATCAAACCTATAGCGAAACCCGCAGCTGCTCGAGTTCCCGTGCCTCCTCCGCCATAGTTCAGGTTCGAACACTTACGACAAGCACTTATACTTTAAGGGATTAGCGACTAGTCGATGTTTTCTCTTACTGCGGTGACTCTTGGAGTAATTAGGTGTCGATGTTCTTGTTAGTCGAATAACTTATTAGAGGAGCTTATAGAAGGTTTTAAGGCTTAAGTTAAAGACTTTAAAATTATATAAATAAAGAAAGTTAAATATTTCTTTTATAAATAGATTTAATTTTTTAAAAATTATATATAATATATATATTATAATAATATATAATATATTAAAAGTTAAAAATTATAGTAAATTTTATAAAAGTATTATAATATATTAAAAATAATAAGTTTTAATATAAAATAAAGTGTGTGGATATTATAAATTAAAATAAAAATAAAAGCTTAAGTAAATATAAAGGTTAATATAAATATATAAATTATAATCTTTTATTTTTAATATTAAAAGTTAATAAATAAAATAATAAATTATAATTTTTATTTTTAATATTAAAGGTTAATAAATAAAATAAGAAATTAAGAAATACTTTACTTTTATTAAGTTATATTTATAAAAGTTTTAAAGTAATTAATTATTTTAATAATTATACTATTAACCGTTATATATAAAGTACTTATTAAAAGGATTATTATTTACTTATATAATATTAAAATAAATAGTATACTAATTAATTAACTTTTAATAACCCTTTTAATAATTTAATAATAAGTTAAATAAATATTATATTTCCTTCTTTATATAAAATCTACCTCTTTAATTTAATTATACTTACTAATTATATTTTATAAATATATCTATTAAACTGTTTTTAATATTCTAATAATATATAGTTTAAAAGTAACTCTTTTTATATTATATTACTAAAATTAATCTATCTTTTTCTACTTTTATAATATACTTTTATTATTTTTCTTTACTATTTATATTAATATTAATAACATAAATATTATTTTAATAAGTTATAATAAAAGGTATATATATATAGCTTACTATACATATCTTTATATTAATATTTTAATCTTAAATACTCTATTAAAATTAAAATAAAAGTATAAAGTATTATATTACTAAGTAATAATAAGCTTTTTAAAACTTTAAGTTAATTTAATAGTTTAAGATTTTATTAATATAACTTAATAGGATAGTAAAGCTACTTAAACTACTTATAGTTATTTTAAAAGCTAGAATTAATTCTTTATTATTTAATTACTTATATTTTAACTATTATTATATTATTAAAAAAGTTATACTTAAAGACTTTTAAAGTTTAAAGTTTATAAAATATTCCTTTAAAATAGAAAATAAGTAGTTATTAAATTTCTAGAAATTATTTTATTTAAAGATAAAATTAAAGTATATAAAGTTATTATAATTAATATAATAAAAGTTTTAAAAACTAGGATAAATTTTAGATTTTTATATAATATATTATTAATAAGTAGACTTATAAGAATTAATCTTTAATATTATTATAAAGGTTACTTATATTATTTTATAATTCTCTTTAATATTATTCTATTACTTACTTATTTTTAAAACTATATCTCTCGCCTCTACCCCTTTAAAATTTAAGTTATAACCTTACACTATACTTAAATTATACACTTATAAATAAATTATTATTATAATAAATATTTATATAATATAATAGTTAGTTATAAGTATAAAAGTATATAAATATAATTTTAATTAATAAAGGTCGTCTTATATTTAATTTATAATAATATAAATATAAAATATTTATAATTAATTATATATTTATTAAAACTTATATATTATTATAAATAATATTATATATATTATTATATATAATATTATATAAATTATTATATATAATCTTAAATTAAGTTAAGTTAAAATTATATATAAAAGTAAATATATATATTTATATTAATTAATAATAATTAAGTTTTTATAAAAGTTATTATTATTATAAACTATTAAATATTTATTAAAATAATTAAATAATAAGTTTAAATATAAAAAGTCTATCTTATAAATATATAACATAACTTAAAAAAGTATACTTTATAATACTATTATTATAATAACGGATTATTAAACACGTTCTATATTAATAATATTAAAAGCTACTAAGTAGGATCTTATATTCCTTTTATAAGCGAGTTTAAGTGACGGCGAAATATATGTCGCGCCTTATAGTACTTAGAGTATGTAAGAAAGTAATGATAAATAATATATATTCTTTAACCTTTCTAATTATTCTATTAAAGGTAGGAGAATTAGTCCCTTATTATTTTTTAAAATAATTAGTAGTATATTATAATAATTTAAAAGAGAATTAAGTTAATAAACTCTTTTAAACTTTAAAGTAATATAAAATTTATATTTTATATAAAGTATTATTTTATATACCTATTAAATTTAATAAATAATATATATATTAAGTTAAAGTATTAAAATTTAATAAAAACTTTTATTTTTAAAAAGAAAATACTTAAAATAAAATATCTTTTATTTATTAATAGTAAAACCTTTTATAAATAAAGGAAAATAATTAATTATTTATATAATTATATATAAATATTTAAATAAAAACTTTAAAAATAAATTTAATAAAATATAAAATTTATTTAAAGGTTAAATTAAACTTATAACTTTAAATTTTTAATAATTTATTTTTATAATTATTAAATTTATATAAGTTTATAAACTTATAATTATATATTATTATAAAATATTTTATATAAATAGATATATTTATTATAATTAAAGTTATTATTATTATTATTTAAATTATAATATTTATAAATTATACTTTTATATAAATTATTTTATATAAATATTTAAATTAAATAATTTTATATATATATAATATATAATATATATACCTTATATAAGTTAGATTATATAATTTATTTAAACCTATATTTCTCTTTATTAAATTAAGGAAAACCTTTTATTTTATTAATATAAAAGTTTTAAAAATTCTTTTAAGTTTTTATTATTATATTATTTAAGAAGAATTATATATTAATATATTTATATAAGAAATATTATAATTTAATATATTTTATATATATATTTTATTTATTAATATAATAACCTTTTATATATATAATTTTATTCTTTTATTAAATTATATTTAATTTTAAATTTCTAAAATTTTAATTTATTAATATATTTTATAAACTAATTTAATATATTATTCCTAATTTATATATTTAAAGATTATTTTTATTTTATTAAATCTTTTATATAATAATAAAAGATATATATAGTTAATATTTTTATAAAGAATATTATTATTAATTAATATTTATTATATATAAAACTTAAAAGTTTATTTATATTATTATATATATTTTTAAGTATATTATATATAATATTATTTAAACTCTTTTATTAATTTTTATAATATATTTAATTATAAAATAATTTTTATAAGAATTTATATATTTTTAAATAGATTTATTTATTTTAATATTTATTTTATTTTTATAAAAGTACTTTATTATTTTATTATTAATATATTTTAATTAATAATACTACTTATAAATTTATTTTATTAAAGAATTATTTTAAATAAAATAAATAAAATTTTAAAGTTTTTATTTATTTTAATTTTAATATAATATAAATTATTTTTATATTTTATAATTATAAACTTATTAATCTTTCTTAAATATAAAATATATATTTTTACCTAATTCTAATTTAATAAAATTAAATATTATATTATAATTTATTATATTTATTTTTAATTTAAATATATAATATATATTTTTAAATTTCTTTTATAATTATTTTATAAAATATTATTATATTATTTCTAATAAAATTTACTTTTAAATAACTTACTTCTTTTTATTTTATTTTTATTTATATAATAAATATTATAAAATAAGTTTTTATTAATAAAACTTATTATATTTATACTAATATTTATAATAACTTTTATATAATAAAAGTTTATATATTATTCTTTTAAAGTTTTATTATTATTAATTATAATTATATATATATATAAATATAAGTAGTATTTATTTATTTTTATTTATATATTTTTAAAGTT